GGTGTTAATTCTACGGAAGTTCATTTCATCTATATAGAGTTTTGTCACATGACAATGTAACAAACATGATGCCAATCGTCAATTTGAAACACTCGTAAACGAGGGATGAATTTTTATTAAAAATGATCATTAAAAGATTTTAGCTTTAAGTGTTGCACACAAATGAAAGGAATTTTAGCGACATTTTCAAGTGTTCAAACTTATTTCGAAATATACATTTTCTAGCAAATGCATCGCTACATTTAGACTCTAAGTTTCATCTGAAAACTCGATTACCATCTCTCTTTCAATAAATAGGAATTTATACGCAAATATTACCTCTAATAGATTCCTACAAGGCGATGGGGAAAGAAAATATTTTTAAACAGAGAAATATTTTCCTGCAATTTCATGTATGTGATATTGATTGATATTTTGACAGAAGAAGAAAATGTAAAATGCTTAAAATAAAAAGGCATTTGACAATGTTGAATTTCATAATCAAACGGGAAGTTTTCAGGACTCACATATTTGATGTCCCAAACAACTGTGCTTGCCCTAGCGCTGTCGCGCTGTCAACATATTGCTTAAAATTCAATACAACAGGAAATTTAAATTCAAAATAATTTTGATGAATTTCAAATCAATATACTTAGCGCTGCCTATTACTTTCAGTACTTTGATTTATTATGAAAACGTTGAAATTTCGTTATCATTTGTACTTCAATGGCAATTTACTTTCTTTGATTAGTACATGTACCTATATCACATGTAGAATAACTGCAGCTGGTAAAAGAAAAATTACTATTAATGTACTTATACTTACCCTTGCAAATGAATTGAATTGAAGTTCTCTCTTGAAATTATAAAATTTTATATTTAACAAATATCAAATATCTTGAAAGATTAAACGAATTGGAACACATTGTTTACTGATGAGCACAACTGTTTAACAGATAACAAATGTCCTTAAGAAAAGTTTGAATCAAGTCTATAAACCCATTACTTTACAATACTACGACCAGTTGGTCAAAACATTCCGATCACATCTTCATTTGTGGTTCAGTGAAGCACAAACTTTACCAGAGTATACGTGAAGTTAGTAACTTTTCAACATTTTCTTGTATAATCTTTGTATACTAAACAAATACCAATATATTTTTTGTTGAATGAATATTTAATTTCCTGTTGTATTTTTTTTTTCTTTTTAAAATTTCAAAATAGTACGAAAAATGATGATCAAAAGAATTCCTTTATTTAAGTGTATTACAAAACATTCTTAACAAGAACGAGGGCGCTTTTGATTGCCATTCGGCAGGAATCGGCGCACTTGAAAATTTCATTAACATGTCACTTGAAATTTTGATTTTGATTGTCATTCGGCATGAATCGGCGCACTTGAAAATATGTCACTTGAAATTTTTATTTTGATTGCATGCCATTCGGCAGGAATCGGCGCACTTGAAAATTTCGTTGATATACATTTCACTTGAAATGTTCGCATTTTTAATGTATCAGAATCCTGAAAAAGAAGAAGCTTGTTACATGTAAAGGGTTTCATGCATATTCAGCTTACAGTTATATAGCAAATACTTGTACGGTAATTTCTGGTAGATATATTGTAGAAAGACAGAAATAGCTAACATTTGATAATTTCGACGAAGTTGGCGGGAGCTTATTGTCCTTTCTGACATAATATATTTTATCAACAAAGTTTCAGTTGCTTCAATTTCAGTCAATTAAGGAATGACCGGGTTAGAGCAGGTTAAGGTTTTTGAGCAGGTCCTATTTCCAAGTACCTTAAAACCCTATGTTGATCAAATCTGCATTAGATGATACTTCACCTGACTTGTTTCTGTTGCTGGACCTGACTTAGATTTTCCGGATGAGAGACCAGATTTGGTTTTAGAGCAAGTTCATTCTAAAGTAACTTTAATAAGCCCTTTGATGACCAAACTTGCATGGATGATACATCGATCTAAGGATGCACAATGATTACCTGACTTGCTTTGGATGCTGGATCTGACCTTTATTTCTGAATGAGGGACCAAGTTAAATATTTTCTGGAGTAAGTTCATTCAAAGGTAAATATTTGCCGTATGCTGACCAAATTTGCGGCATGGGTAATACTTCTGGGGATGCATACCACTTGATTTTTTTTTCTTGATGAGTGACTAGACTATCATAATTGCTTAGTGTTGCGTCTTGGGATATACATGTAACTACTAGATTATCAGTGTAAAATGGGACTTTGCTTTACGCACTTAATTTTGAATTGAAATATTTTTTTGCAGTTGATGGTGTGTATGCATTTTTTACGTCTGGATTTTGTAAAAAAAAAAAAAAAAAAAAAATAGTAATATATAAATAAATAATGAAATAAAATAAATAATTATTTAAGGTACTCAAGTTCAGAAAATCGTACATTTACTAACTGAAAATGCTCACAATAATCTCTCCGAATTCTCAATCATGTGTTTTTACCCACGATTATTCAAAATTAATTCTAAGTTAATCAAATTGTATTGGGAAAGTAGTAAATCTCTTTTTGTCAGGAAATGCAAATAAAAACACATACAATATACATCTGATAAACAGACATATTAATTTAGACATTAGAATCATTTGGTACCCAGGCTTTTTGGAAAAAAAAATTTCTTATACATAATACATGTACAAGGTACTTTTATTTTCTTCTATTAACTTCGATCAGTGTATATTTAATTCAACTAAAGTTATGATATTTAACTCAAATGGCAAGCCTCAAGGAAATGAATTTAGTTTTAATGGTAATGCAATACAAATTGTACCAAGATACATGTACTGTTATTTAGGTATTATGATGAAATGTAATAGGAAGTTTAATTTAGCAACAGCTTTGCTTATTGAAAAGGCTAGAAAAGCATGTTTTAAAATGAAAAGAATTATTGGATTTGATAACCCATGTAAACTTTGATACATGCATGGCGGAAAGGTGGATTAATAATTTTTTTCATTTCAATATTCAGACTTTTTTAATCAAGTGATTTCTTTTATTGAAGATTAAAAAAAATAAATATTATTGATTTGTAGTTTTTACTCGTGATTTTTTCTTTTATGTAAGGAAATCATTTTCTAAAACGATCTACATTGTACATGTATCTTCTTTTTTTTTTTCCTTCAAAACATTTAATTTACTATGATTACGATGAATGCGTTTAGGTTACAAATAAATTTCATATTAAAATAATTATTTTACGTAGTTTCACTCAAAACCAGACACAAAACACGAAATGTTGACCCTGATTTATAAATTACAAATATTAAAGAGAACTTGATCCTTCCGTTCTGAAAAATATCGGGCTAGGAATCCTTTTAATAGAAACCGGAAGTCTCAATGTTGTCGACGATCCACTCTGACGCAACGCACGTTGTCTTCACACGATGGACATGTCAAGTATTTTCAGCAATACCGTTGAAGGAATAAAAAATGGGGATCCTTCAGCGATTGGAATCTTAGTTGCTGTATCTGTAGTAGTCTTAACTATACGTAAGTCTATTGTAAATAACAGTTCTTGTTTTTTTTTCACTATATACTAGACGGAGATCCACAATGAACATATGGACAGATGAAATTAAAATGTTTGGTCAAGGAAGTATTTCTTTACCTTACCATTTAAAAACATCTTTTATCCAAAGTTATTGGAAATTGGCTAGCCTGAAAAAGAAACCAGAATATATTTACAATATAGGAAAGACTACATGTGCACATCTGACCTCAGCTGTTGAAAAATCATCTCTGATCTACTCAACCTTACAAATTTATTTCATTTTAATTTGAATTCAGGAAAATTAGCGATCTGATAAACAGAGTACACTTGAGTACACTTGCTCCGAAGGAGAGGGGGATAATCCGATATATTTAGATTAATTATTTTTATTAAATAATATTGCAATATTTTAGTGTTGTCAAAGAGTACCAAGTTAACCATCAAAGAATGCAAGTGCATGTATCAGATAGTAAAACACAGCTATGCTGATACTCGGATAAACCATATTTTACGTGATAAATACGTTAAATATTAATGTTATACTGTTTAGAAATGTATAGACTAACAAATTTCCTTCATTTTTATGTACCGTTAGACTCGATCTTGTTAGTAGTTCTTCACAAAATAGGATTGAATTTTTTTTATTAGTTTTCATTGTTTAATATAATTTGGGTAACACAAATCAAAGAAATGGTTGCTGGGGGGGGGTATACAGTTTGAAAAACTGAGTTATAATGACCTCTTTTTAATGATTTCTATGAGATGCCGCCACAGACATATGACACTTGGAGGTGTTTTTAAAGAACTTAGTTGAAATCTGTGAAAGGTGAATTATCCAAATTGGAGTCATCATGTACGGGTTTGACTATAAATACATGTATGTAAAATCACCTAAGCTTAAAAATTATTTGGAAACCAGCGTTTTACTGGACACTCCACAAATTAATCAGTAATAACAGAGTACAGTATGTAATAATTCAAAAGTTTCATATAATGTTAAATACTGCTACTAATGATCTAATATATCTGTTTATCATTTATATAATAGTGTTGCATTATGCATGTACTATGCCTAAATAGTAGGCAGGGTTTGACACATGGTGCACGAGCCGGAGGCGAGTGCACTATGTGTTAAACCCTGCCTACTATTTAGGCATAGTACATGCATAATGCAACACTATTGTTATTATTATGCTGACTGTTGTTATTATTTATGCGGCAATCCATTTGATTTTTTCCTGAAAATAATGGTGGTAACACAGCGCACTTGCAAATATTTGTCTATTTTCTCCTTCTTGTGTCAATTGTATAAATTAAGTTTATATATTTAATAAAATTCTCTCAATCAGTGATCGTCTCTGTGGCGTAATGGATAAGGCATCGGACTGGCAACCTCACGGTCGTGAGTTCGATTCCCGGTGTGTGCATTGAAGAATTTTCTTCAGAGAGTAAGGTCGTGCACTGTTTCGGCATAGTATGCTTACGCTATATAAATCCTTAGACCACTATGCGAGAATAGTAGGGTATGGGCTAATATAGAGACAAACTGACAGGAAGCATAATAATTTATGATAATTTTTCAACAAGTGTTCAAATTTATAGTTTTAGATAAAATTATTATAGATTTACAGTATTAGTAATTACACTTATAAAGTCATAAAGTCATAAAGTTATAAAGTCCAGGGATGGGCTTTGTTATAAGTGAAATTTGTTATATATCAGTTAAGTTTACAATATATTTTAAAGTCACAGGGAATGAAAGTCACTAAGTGACTTTGTTACAAACATAATTCATTATAAGCTTGTTCACTAATCACTATATGAATGTTTTACTGTACATACTTTTTTTTTATCTAGATTGAACTTATTTTGCATACTTTCAGTGATATTTCTTCTGGGTGGCAAAAGCAACAAACGCCAGGGTGTACTACTACTGGGAATGTGTGACACAGGAAAAACCCTCATATTTCATAGGGTAATAGATTTTAGGAATATTTTAGAGCAGAATAGAGTTGAAATAATTTTTTTACCTAGGCTATTAAAAGAATACAGTTCTACTATCAATCCTGTTTCCAATTTTAATTAACTGTGATCAATCACATTGTAAATTGTGAATAGTGAAAATTGAATTCCTTTCGTAAATTCTTGATTATTATTTAGTATTTACCAGTAATTATTTTCTTTTGTAGCTTGTTCACAGAAGTGAAAAACCAATACATACTGTAACATCAATATCCCCCAACAGTGGAGATTATTCTGTGCCAGGAAAGGTAATGCTGCTTTATTGAATTCATTAAGTAATGTTCAAGTACAATTTATATTACATGTACAACTTGAACTATATCATTATGTGTTTGACTTTCAATTATCACATGGAATATTTACAGATATCATATGAAATATCTTGGAAATTTTTTTTAAGAAAAAAGCAAGTGTGTCATACTGTTTGACAGAATCATCAAATTTTGTTACTGTCAAATTTATGTTTGCTGATGATTGCAAAGATCATGGTTAAACCATAGGCCCCAACCGCCCTAAAATTTTAAAGTTTTACTACCCCACAAAGATATATTGATAATATTTTCTGGATTTTAGATTTTTTCAAAGAGTATCCAGATAAATAAGGTAAAGATGATCTTAGACCCCCCTTAAAATACTCCTGTAGATGACCCTACCCCTTGCTAAAATGGTATGTTAGGAAATGGAATTCATTTATTTAAGGAATCACTGTCTACATAGTAGAGTGTGTCGTCAACGATAGTTGGAAACATGGAATAATTTATGTAGAATGAGCTTCGAAATCCATGTTTCATTGATGTCCCTGGCATACTCTACTAAACTAGACACTGATTCCTTATATTTCCATTTCATTGAGAAATAAAATAGTAAATTTAGATTTTAAAGATCGAGACTTATAGATTTAAATTACATGAGGCCTTCCATGTCAATTTCATTAGTCCCTGCCCACTGACAAAAACACAAGGACAATAACAGGAGATTTTCATGCATGTTAGGTAGGCCTCCTTAGCATCAGACACAAAAATAGAATGATTCAGAAGATTGACATGCATATTAGACCTCCTAAGCTCCTGACCTTTTTCTTGCAGAAATTTACATTCACATTACATTTACATTTTGACATTTACATGATAATAAAAATCAACATAACAAACTTTAAAATCAACCTTCTACAAGCATCTATAGCAAAAGGGGCATGTATCAACTTTCATATAATGTACAGAATATACTAAAAGATAAATGAGTTATTTCCCTTTTTAATATGTCAATAAAATTGATCGATGAAACAATGTTTGACTAATCACAACTTCTCGACCTTTCTGACTAGCGGAAAATGTGTCTTGAATGTGTTATGTAGACGCCATGACAACCCCATTTTTCACAAACTTTGAAATAAATGTTAGAAAACATCTAATCTGTGGAGTATGGGGGTTTAACTTTATTTGATGTAAAGATATTACCTATTTTGTACCACAGAAAGGACTTTAAAATCCTTCTATCCTAAAATTATATAAAAAGGAAGATGTATAGATTTTTAACATCCAGTGATCATAATAATTGTAAACTCTAATTTATTTTTCCCAGGTTTCTTTAATTACCTAATTTCATATAAACTTGGTGCTGAACGAAAAATTGATAACACTGCAGTGCTGGAAATTGGTTAAACCTAAATAAACTGTATACTGTTTACTAATACATAGATAATCCAAGAAAAAGTCTCAGTGGTCGGAATTAAATACAGTGTACTTAAAATAAAAAAGAAAAACACGAAAAACCTCAGTCATACTGTATACTAATACTATACATATTTTTTAACAATGATTCCTTTCTTTACAGAATTTAACATTGATTCCTTTCTTTACAGAACAAGTCTTTGAAGATCTATGATCTGCCAGGCCATGAGAGATTGAGACTTCAGGTGTTGGATCAGTTCAAAGGACTGGCCAGGTAAGAGATCTCAGTAAATGAGGTGGATTTTTTTTTTGCCATTTATTGAACGGTACAATAATGTACATGTTGTGATGCGTCTAGGAGTACAGTTAAAGCTGTCAATTATAGGCTCATGGGATGAACTTGCTAAATGATTAGCTTTGATTTGTATGATTTATGTAGGGAATCTATTGAGACAAACTGCCTATGAAATACTGGAATATTGATCCAGGCTGTTATATACAATGTATATGTTAGATGTTTGAACTCTGCTTTGCCTTTTTATTGAACATATAGCCATTTAGGAAAGCAAAGATAATTATTATGATTAGAATGTTATAGCCTTGGCCTAGGCCTACCAATTTCAGCAGTCACTGAATGATTAGATTTTATAATGTTTTTATGTATTGATACTCTTTTTAGCTCACCTGAGCTGAAGGCTCAAGTGAGCTTTTCTGATCACATTTTGTCCGTCGTCTGTCTGTCCGTCTGTAAACCTTTCACATTTTCGACTTCTTCTCAAGAACCACTGGGCCAATTTTGACCAAACTTGGTACAAAGCATCTTTGGGTGAAGGGGAATTTAAATTGTCAAAATAAAGGGCCAAGTCCCCTCACAAGGGGAGATAATCAAGAAAAGACAAAAATAGGGTGGGGTCATTAAAAAATCTTCTTCTCAAGAACCACTGGGCCAGAAAAGCTGAAACTTATGTGGAAGCATCCTAGGGTAGTGTAGATTCTAAATTTTAAAAATTATGACCCCCGGGGGAAGGGCGAGGCCACAATGGGGAATCAAAGTTTTACATAGAAATATATAGGAAAAATCTTTGCAAATCTTCTTCTCAAGAACCATTGGGTCAGAAAAGCTGGAACTTATGTGGAAGCATTCTGGGGTAGTGTAGATTCTAGATTGTAAAAATCATGACCCCCGGGGGAAGGGCGGGGCCACAATGGGGAATCAAAGTTTTACAAAGAAATATATTGGAAAAATCTTTGAAAATCTTCTTCTCAAGAACCACTGAACCAGAAAAGCTGAAACTTATGTGGAAGCATCCTGGGGTAGTGTAGATTTTAAATTGTTCAAATCATGACCCCTGGGGGAAGGGCGGGGCCACAATTGGGAATCAAACTTTTGCATAAAAATATATAGGAAAAATCTTTGAAAATCTTCTTCTCAAGAACCACTGGGCCAGAAAAGCTGAAACTTGTGTGGAAGCATCCTGGTATAGTGCAGATTCTAAATTTTTTTAAATCATGACCCCCCGGGGAAGGGCGGGGCCACAATGGGAATTTTACATAGAAATATATAGAACAAATCTTTGAAAATCTTCTTCTCAAGAACCACTGAACCAGAAAAGCTGAAACTTATGTGGAAGCATCCTGAGGTAGTGTAGATTTTAAATTGTTCAAATCATGACCTCTGGGGGTAGGGTGGGGCCACAACGAGTAATCAAAGTTTTACATAGAAATATATGGGAAAAATCTTTGAAAATCTTCTTCTCAAGAACCACTGGGCCAGAAAAGCTGAAACTTATGTGGAAGCATCCTGGGGTAGTATAGATTTTAAATTGTTCAAATCATGACCCCCTGGGGAAGGGCGGGGCCACTATGGGTAATCCAAGTTTTACATAGAAATATATAGGAAAAATCTTTGAAAATCTTCTTCTCAAGAACCACTGGGCAAGAAAAGCTGAAACTTATGTGTACATGGAAGGATTCTGGGGTAGTCTAGATTTCAAAATGTCTAAATTATGATCAGTTGGGTATAGTGGGGATGCATTATGTATTACAAGGAGGAAATCTGGTAAAAAACAGAATGGTCAAAGCTTCTCAGGTGAGCGATGTGGCCCATGAGCCTCTTGTTTGAAAGAATTGTCCACATTTTTACTTCATAATGATCCTAACACCTGTGGTTATTGACATCCCAGTGAGTGCCTTTGCCCTCACATATCTATGTTTCAAAATCTCCCAGCCATTATTTAGTTTTTTGCAGTGTTTGAAACTCATCGTAAAATAAGCTAGACATGTAGGGCTGACTGTGAATTATAAAGTTGTCAGCCCTGGAAAAAATGGCCCTAGAAAATATTAATAAATTCATTTTGTAGGCTGAAAAATTTTATCTGTTTGCTTGTTTCACGTAGCAGCAATCATGTTTAGAAGTTTTGAAAGAGATTTATCAAATACAGTTGTATCTAAATTTCAATTTTAAAAATCTTTACATATCCAGCATGGCTTCAATACATGCAAATCTGTTTGCCCACGACCAAAATTTGTGCAACTTAAGAAACAAAATAGAATTTAAAAACAGTGTGTCTATTAATTCTTTAAGTCCTTTTCTATGTCATTGATGAGATCCCTCCATCATGTTTCAAGTAGTAGAGCCCTAATTGCAATGAAACCTTGGAAATTAAAAAAAAAATTGTTTCATATATCTCCTAATATTAATTATGTGTGTGTAAATTGACTTTGAATACGGATGTGAATTTTTTGGTGCTCAAAAATTCTGTCAGAAACTTGAACTTTTCGAAGACATGCATATATACTGTAAATCACTTTTTACTCGTGAGAACTTTATTTTCATGTAATTACACAAGACAATAAGCTCGCAAAAATTTCATTTTTGCATATAATAGTATACCTTATGATTTATTGAGAAGTAACACAATTCATGAAAATTATGTCTCGCTAATAAAAAGTAAATGACAATCTCGCGAAAATAAGGTGTCGTGAAAATTTATTGATCTACAGTACATAAAAATATTAAGTTTCATGTATCTCCTAATATTAATAACGTGTGTGTGTAAAATGACTTTGAATATGGATGTGAATTTTTTGGTGCTCAAAAATTTTCAGAAATTTGACCTTTTCAAAGACATGCATATATGTACATAATGTATGCTCGATGACTTACATTTACATGTATATTTTACACAAAATATGTTGTTCACTAATCACTTTGTATAAGTCCAGATTTACTTGTTTCATTTACTTTTTGATATTAAATGTACAAAAATAAGACTTAGTGTAGAAGTCTTTTACTTGCTTAGTCTGCCCACTTGCCTATACTACATGTATATTGTGAACAATATGTGTGTGGAATTATACTGGAATAACTTAACTTTAATTTATAAATATTGTTTAGAGAATGCACTTTTAATTTTTTTTCCAGGGGTATTGTGTATGTGATAGACAGTACTTCTCTACAGAAAGATATCAAAGAAGTAGCAGAGTAAGTACATGTACAAACTCCTTTTTTTATGCATCAAGATCAAGAGGAAGGATAAAACAAGAGACTTCTGAATATTCCTTTCCAAGGTCTCAGGTTTTATCTTACATCTATAACCCCAAATGGAAATAGATGTATCTCATCCGATGTCGTATATTGTATCGAGGTAATATTAGGGAATGAACGAGTGGTTTACAATAGAGAAGCTCAAACAGAAACTTCTGAAACGTTGACAAGAAAAAAGTCTCCCCAAGCAAACAAAGTCATTTTAAAGTAGGTTAATGATTGATTTACTCAATGGAGTACCCTGTATACGAAACAAGTGCCTGTGATCAAGACCAGAGATTGTTGGAGGGGGTATAGTGTTTTTGTTCCATCGGATCATCTGTCATTCTTTGTCTATATCACCCTTCCTGATAATTTTTTTACCACTAAACTTAGCAACTTTATATTTGATAGAGTGTTAGAATTAATGTTTTTCATCCTTCATTTTCCAGAAGTAAAAATTATGAATATAAGTGAAAATTGTATGAAATTTTAATTTTAAAACTTTTTTACTTACTCACTTGAGCAGAAAGATCAGGTTAGCTCAAGTAAGGTTTTCTGATACTTCAGATGTATACTTTAAAACAAATCTTGATTCAGAAGAATGTATTAACATTTACAAAAAATTATACATTTATAAAATGGATGTCTTTAATGAATATCTTGTAGGTGCATGTAGGTGCATGCATATGTATTTCTTGGATGGAATCAAATTTTAGATTATACTGTATAAGTAGAAATTTTAGCTAGGATTGAATAATTATTTTAGCATATTTAGGAAGAGCTTGCTAAAATTAAATGTTATACAAATATTGACTGGGGTTAAAGGCAACATTGACCACTTTGGACAGAGTTATGCCCCCTGGACTTAGAAAAATTAATTTTTTTTTTGCAGAGGTTGCACATATTGAAATGAAATTTGATAAACAGATTAAACATGAGAATATCTGGATCAAGTTTTGTTTTGGGTATGATCGAGATATTTTGGATAGAGTTATGCCCCTTGGACTTTCAAAAATTCCAATCATTTGATTGAGGGGGACAAACATTTCTTGTTAAGTTTGGTATTATAATATCACCAAATGATGGATATGGAGATAATGAACAGCATTCAATATCAAAGTCCATAAAAAAGTACAAAACAGAAGCAGAGCAAACACAGATCTCCAAAACATCAGAGGTGGGATCAAGTGCCATGGAGGAGTGAACATCCCCCAGCCGACCGGTCACACCCGCCTTGTGCTCATGATAGGGAAATAACAGAATAATCCGTCATCAATTCAGTGTATAAATAATAGACTCACAAAAAGTATGAAAATTGTCAGTCGGCATTTGACTCAATGATAAATTGTATTTGCTGACAAGGTCATTGTATCGACCATAGAACTTACAAAATGATGACTTAAAAGGACACTGCTGATATTCTTGTTTCATCAACTTGTTTGCCAAAAATACTTCTTCCTAAAATTATGACTGAATGTACTGATTTTTAAGCACAATTTTCTTGCTAAATTTGTGACTTGCTGAAAATTCAACTTACATGACATTGCATTTATATTTTTGCATCATGTGCATGTATACATGTAATATTACGTTTTATAAAATATATGTTAAATTAACAAAAAATTATAAGTGCAAAAATGCTCAAGAACATTTTATTTTCAAATTACTGAGCCTAAGTTTTTGTTATAGATTCCTGTACACAGTACTGAGCGACCCAGTGGTTCTGGGTCATGCCCCTCCTGTTCTGATTGCATGTAACAAGCAGGATCAACATCTAGTCAAAGGAGCTGGCTTTATAGAGAAACAGCTGCAAAAAGAAATGTAAGTCCTTCATTTAACACATTGTTACAATCATTGTTGATGGCAGTGGTATTTGCATTACTAATCAGTAATGATAATTATTTCTCCCCTCCTCCCTCCAAACAGAAAGGGGAATGGAATGTGAATTTCAGTAGAATTTATCCCAATGGTTGACCGGTTCCAAAGAAATTGGCTGAACTAGACAACATTCTGCAATATTTAACATTTTAAAAAATTGAAATTAATGAAAAGGACTTTAAGCTCACATCTTAATATTAGACAAAATTTTAGAATACACTACATCTAGATAAGATTTTACTGTATTTTAGGAACACTCTGAGAGTGACCCGCTCAGCTGCTCTCCAGCAACTAGAGGGAACCACAGGAAATAATAACACCTACCTAGGCAAGCGCAACAAGGACTTTGAATTTTCAGATCTGAAGCCAATGAAAGTTCAGTTTGTAGAATGTAGTGCAGTAGACACTTCTGACAAAGATCAACCTGGACTCATGGAAGTGGAGAAATGGCTCTCAGCATTAGTATAAGTAAAGTTGATTAGATAATATTATGGGTAACTTCAAGATGTACATGTAACAGATTTGTAGATTGTGTAAGGAAAATGTATTGGATGTACATTGTATAAATGTTGTTTGATGTTTATGAGTGAAAACAGTTGACTGCAAAGGTTACAGACATATTTCTTCATTTATCAAGTTCATCACCAGTATCATTATTTTTTAGGGAGGATGGTATTTTCAATTTCATTTTAAGCTCTACTGGTCAGAGACCAGAAGAGCTTATGCGATAGTAATGCGTCCGGCGTCCGTCCGTCTGTCTGTCTAGCTGTCCGTCTGTCCGTCTGTCTGTAAACAATTTTTCAAAATGCTACTCCTCCTACAGTTTTGGTCTAATTTCAATATAACTTGGCACACAAGTAGACTACACTAAGATACATAATTCTGTGTATCGGTTTTTGATTTCGATGAACGGTGTTGCCGTGGTTACTAAAAATAGAAATTTCTGTGAAATTCTTTCAAAATGCTACTCCTCCTACAGTTTTAGTCTGATTTCAGTATAACTTGGCACACAAGTAGACTACACTAAGATACGTAATTCTGTATATCGGTTTTTGATTTCGATGAACGGTGTTGCCGTGGTTACTAAAAAATAGAAATTTCTGTGAAATTCTTTCAAAATGCTACTCCTCCTACAGTTTTGGTCTGATTTCAGTATAACTTGGCACACAAGTAGACTACACTAAGATACATAATTCTGTGTATCGGTTTTTGATTTCTATGAACGGTGTTGCCGTGGTTACTAAAAATAGAAATTTCTGTGAAATTCTTTCAAAATGCTACTCCTCCTACAGTTTTGGTCTGATTTCAGTATAACTTGGCACACAAGTAGAATACACTAAGATACATAATTTTGTGTATCGGTTTTTGATTTCAATGAACGGTGTTGCCGTGGTTACTAAGAACAGAAATTTCTGTGAAATTCTTTCAAAATGCTACTCCTCCTACAGTTTTGGTCTGATTTCAGTATAATTTGGCACACAAGTAGAATACACTAAGATACATAAATCTGTATATCGGTTTTTGATTTAGATGAACGGTGTTGCCTTGGTTACTAAAAATAGAAATATCTGTAAAATTGTTTCAAAATGCTACTCCTCCTTCAGTTTTGGTCTGATTTCAATATAACTTGGCACACAAGTAGAATACACTAAGATACATAATTCTGTGTATCAAATTTTAATTTTGATGAACTGTGTTGCCGTGGTTACTAAAAATTGAAATGTCTGTAAAATTGTTTCAAAATGCTTCTCCTCCTACAGTTTTGGTCTGATTTCAATATAACTTGGCACACAAGTAGACTACACTAAGAACATAAAGTGACTTTATCAACGATCATTATTCTATATATTGCTGTTGTAAAGTTTCAAATCCCAGCTGCTTAAGTACTCTTCTCTTCCTTTGCTATAAGTTCAAACCAGTAGAGCTTCAGTCTCGACAGAGACTTCTGGTTCTATCCTGCCATTATTTTGTCCACAATCTTTTAAATAAATTTGGATGAATGTTCTGCTTGTGTTTTACTTGATAATAATTGTTATGTGTATTAAAAAACACATCTAGAGATAGAGATGCCAACAAAATTATTAGTCAATCTTGTGTAAAACAAAACCCGGTTATACAGAAGTTCCCTGGACCTTCGAATTTACTTCCCTATATCCCTAAGTCATTATATCTTATTTAACAAAGTCATTAATGTATGCATAGAGTGAATTTGTTGTATAAATTTTTTCCTGCAAGTATATCTTCCTAATGTATTTACGGAAGTTTGAAATATACATGTAACATTTATCTTGGAACTCAGAATTTTAACTATGAACCGAGTTTCAAATGTTTATACGTACAGAGTTATTATACACTCAATGCTTTAAAAATTGAAATCTTTCAAAATTCGTGTCAGATAAAAGTTGTCAATTTTGTTATATCTGTGTTCCTACTAAACGAGTTTTACTGTACTGTGTATATAAAGAGCCAATAGAATGAGGCTGTGAATATTATAGTACTAGTTCTCAAAATGTAAAATTGTATTGAAAGAAAGGTGTGATTGTGAAAGACTGACCCCCAGCCGTGGCAGAGGTCAAAAGCGTAATGGTAAAGATTTCCCTGACACTTAAAATCTGTTAATTAGATAAGAAAAACCAATGGCAATACTAATCAATAAAATATTATGGACACGATTAAATTTGTTCAAGAGTACATTGCAGGTAAACTGTCCATTAATATGGTCTTGTCACAAGGGATATACCTGTGAAATGTAAGAGTTGTGGAAAGTATGCCAAAATCCAATGTCTTTGGTTTATCACGGAGAACAAATCTATGAAATATGAAAGTCCTAGACTCCTATCACTAAGTCTTCAAAAGTTATGGTCAAAGTGAATGTTTTAATTAAAAAAAGATGAAACCCATACATGTATGTCAAGGTCAAAAGGACAGATTGAAATATAAGGAGGAAAGATCTTATCACAAGGAATATGCATGTGAAGGATATTATGAGATTTAAAGTCCCCTGGTTTTTTATGCCCCTGTAATTGAAGATTCAGGGGTATATGGTTTTTGCCCCGTCTGTCCATCATTCTACTGAGTTTTAAATTAGTATTTGTCTGTTTATCTGTTTGTCCGCAAAAACTTAAACCTTGCCTACAACTTTTGAATGGGTTGAGCTATGGATTTCGTATTTCACAGGTGTATTCCTTGTGAAAAGACATTTTTATGGATACCACCAAATTTGACCTTGAAGTTGGACCCACTTTCAAAAAAAATACCAAACTTTAACCTTGGCCATAACTTTTGAACAGTTGGTGGGGCTTTCTTCCTTCACATACATGTATGTACAATGTATTTATGATGACAAGACCTTTCAATTGGTACAAATATTTTGACCCTAGAATTTGACCTACTTTATAGAAACAAAACTTTAACTATAAAAGAATCATCTATCACCAGATGAGAAATTCAAAAATCAAGATGTGTTAAATTTGTGAAACACTGATGCCCTTGTAAAAATTGAAGTTTCTCAAATACAAGTCAAATTCCAAGCTCAGTAAGTCAAAATTGTTGGTATTGAGCGAAAGGTCATTTCACAAGGAATACGCCTGCTAAATATGAAAGCACTGAGGCAACGCACTTTGAAAAAATTACGCACTTTTATTAAAAAATTTTTCAAAGTTCTTAAAATTGGGACAAAACGCACTTTGAAATTTTTTTTCAAGGTGCGTTAATTTTAATTTGGGACAAATTCAACGCAAAGTGCGTTAAGAGTTCACATCTACATATGGTTACCATTGAGACACTTACGCACTTTGAAAAAAAAATATCAATAAAACAAAAATTCTGGACTTAGATTTTAGTAATGGAATGCATTGATTTGTTATTTATCTTTCGAACAACTTAAGAATTCATTTACTCCCGTCGAGAAGAGAAGACGGATAGAAGGTTTCTAAGCCCAACTCTTTAGCTTTTCAAGCCAATACATAGATGTTGGTGGCAAATTGAATGGGGGGAGGGAAGTAATGAACCCCAACAAGGGTAAGTCGCATTTTCAATGACTATATACTAGTAATGTAAATCTTTACCAAAAAAGGTGGGCGACTAAGCCCCCCTCCCCTTGCTCTTAGCCCGGTTTCGATGCCTACATGCATGCTTTACCCAAAACATGTATATCTATTTACATGAACATAACTGGTATGACGTTGAAAACTTTTAATTGAATTAACTTAAAACTGATAAAATCTTAAATTTTTAAGTACAATAAAACGTATGAGAAAGAAAGAATTTTCATGGTACTGAAAAATCAAATCGCCCCTTTTTTTTCTTCAGAGGAGTCCGCCCCCTCCATCTACCGAACTTATTACAGACTAGAATATTTAAAAAGAAACGAAATTATATTATACTACCTGCTGATTTTTTTTTTCTAGAAGACCAATTTCCCTTTTATAACATTTATCGAAACCTAAAATATTCAAAACGTCAATATCTCAGGTCCTGAAGTGACCTTATCACCAAATAGTTATCAATTATTTAACATACCGAAAATTTTTAATAATATTGATCAAGCTATCATATACATTTTTTTTTCAAAGTGCGTTAATATGGTCGATATTAACGCACTTTGACAAGAAATTTTATTTTTTTTCGAAGTGCATTAGCTTGGTCCCAAATTTAACGCACCTTGAAATTTTTTTCAAAGTGCGTTGTAACAAGGCACTAATACTAACTGTTCAAGGTATTGCCAAGGAATAATTATTTAACAAGGAAAATTATTCGAATGTGACATGAATTTGGGAGCATTTTCACAAAAAATTAAATAAACGTTTTAATGAATGATCTTTCTCATAATATTTTGGCTATCTATTGATAAATCGGTTTACTGTCATATGTTGAAAAAGTTCTATGAAATATATCACCAATATCGCGTTCTAATTGACTAAAAATGCGCTTAATTAGAAATACTAGATAAGTCATAAGGTAAACATCTTACAATTTTAAACTATAAATTTACTTTTTCTAAACCATTTCTTCACGATTTTAAAACCCTTCGCTCAAATAGAAACGAGCATATAACTGCAATGTTGAAGGATGTAACAGCATCATACTAGTAATCGAAAACACGGATCCGCCCCCCTGGACACGCCTCTCCCGAGATCTGAAGTCATCAAACCAATTGCGATGTTCTCTGGACAGAGAGAACGTAGCAGAGCCTATATACTTGCAACTAATAGAGAAAAACTCATTCTGTAACCATTATTTATTTATTTAAAAAAAAAATTGTACTTTGCCTTTAAGATGGGCGTGTTGTGTGACATCTCTGCTATAATAATACGTGAACTGAGTGCTTGCAATAGACACCGGATAGAAAGTCGGCACAGAAGTGTACATACTTGGCCACAGAAAAATGATTTTATCCTTAGATGTTGAATGCATGTGCAGAGAAATGACAGCATCACGTTCATCTTGTAGTAAAAAGTAAACACGTGAGTACAGAAAGTTTCTGAAAAAATTTCTTCATTTTCTTCCTTAAAATAATAAATCAACATAATATGAAATTTGAGGAAACAAAATTAAAATGATAATATTGGTTTCTAGATTTTAGAGTGTTAAAACTCTGACGCTAATTGTTGGATTCTATCATCTCAAAGCTTCAAATGCATAGTCTTTTTTGAAACTGCAAAAATAGGCAGAAAAAAATGATTAAAAATATACATATGAATCACAGGCACTTGTTTCTGTAATAAATTTTTGACCCGTAGTATAATAATACTACGGGTCAAAAATTTATTACAGAAACAAGTGCCTGTGATGTGAATTTCTTTTTAAGGAGTAAAACATCCATGCATTAATCATTGTGCGTTGGTGTTTTTTGGATATTTGAAATTTAGAGCTATAATTAATTTCTGAAGTATTTTATATGATCGCTGACTGTGATATGAATTGACAAATTGATATTAACATGATTAAGTATGAAAAAATAAATTGTATTTGAGAACATATTGTAGTAACTGTAACCTCTCTCTCTCTCTGCCAGTTTGCAAATTTGGACGATCCAAATCAATAAAAAAGTAATCAAGTTGGTTTTACAGTATAGGGGGACTTGATTAACCAATTAATTGTTTGGAGACGAGTCTATGCAAATAAGAGGTTAAGATATTTTGTTTCATCTTTTTTGTTTGAGATTTAATTCCATATTGTTAATTAAAGATTATACAGAACCACCCCTATTATCTTCGGGCATACATTCCAAACAAAGCATTTATATTGGAAAATAGATAGGTTTATGGAAATATCTCATCAACAACTCCCTTTATTTCGGAAGAGCTTGCTACGATCGAGCAAGGTTTAAAAGACGAATTAAGCTAATATTTTATCGGCTCTCAGTTCATTTGATCCCGAGCTTGTTTTCACGTGCTTCATTGATATTTTCGCCATCTACATATTTTGCATTGCCTTCTCAGCGCAGTCCATCTGATATCTAAAATTTTGTATTTTTTTTTTTTTTTTGCCAAGATTTTAGAAGAGTCAAATGATGGAGTTGAGGTTTTAATTAAGATGCATTTAATTAGTACTATATATTGAAATGTTTTATCTCTGACGATCAGGACGTACACGGGATTTTCCATTTCCGTTCTGCTTCCTGTTAATTATGCTCACATTATGAAAACTGCCAATCTGTCAGCACTCGGATCTAATTAACATTGAATGTCAATATCGCCGTGTCGGGGTAGATATAATGACTCGTTGAATACATGTATATTATTTGTATTACAGATTAGATTTACATTTATATATGCATTATAAAAAAGATATTAAAGAAAAATATATACAAGTATACAAAAATATTGACAGACCAACAATACTTTGTACATGATCATCCAATACCATCGGATATTAAATCCTTTCAACAAGTTCCATGTTCAATCACTCCAAATCTATTTTACGTGCTTAATATGTAGATTGAAAATAAGATTTAAAAAAAATAATAAATAACTGTAAAAAAAATTCCCTCAAATTGTTTTTTTTATTATTTTTATTAAAGTGTCCTTTCTATATTTTTTTTCAAACTTGGTCGACACAACTTGCCGGTGGATGGCTGCAAATTAAGACCCGCATGAGGAACACATATTACATGTTTCAATTTAAAAGCTACATATACATGTATCTTGTGACATGAGTGGTGTTCGAGTCAAAAGCGGTATTTTTTTCTCACTGAAATATTTTCATTAAAAAATGTATTTATTTATCAAGGCCATAAATGTGTCTTTAATATTTCACGCCTTCTTTTTCAATTTCAGGAAAAGGAAAAGCTAATGAGAACCCAGCATTTCTGAACTGAGAAGTTCTTAACATCCTGACAATCAAAATGGATCCCATGTCAGCGGGCCTAATAACAGTGGATTTCCTTCTGATTTTTACCATTATTTTCACTAACACATTTGCAATCGTCTTTATATTGAAGAAATCAAAGAGAAATTCTAAAAATTTACTTTTAGTTTCTCTATCCCTTTCAGATATTGCCGTTGCAATTTTTGTTATTCCTAACGTTATTTTCTTGAAATTGCACAACTCTTCTGTAAGCCCAATCATATGCCAAATTTGCTTGTACGCAGAATACATGGCAAGTGCAGCAAATGTCTTTTCTATTTCCGTTCTGGCTTTGGACAGATTCAGAGCTTTAGTTTATCCTCTACAAAACAAGGACCCAAGACGCGAGGTGGTATACGGCAGTATTGTACTGATTTGGGTTGCATGCCTTTTCTATGCTATACGGGCACCTGTTGTTTTCAGGGGTAAGATGTTCAAAGTTGGAAGCGGCAACTCGACGACTGTAAAGTATGGATGTGCTGTACCAGACCCTCTTCTAAGTCTGCATGCTGGATTTATTGTGCTCGACTTCGTCATTCTCTTTGCCATCCCAGCTTTAATTTTAATTGGCTGTAATGTTAAGGTTTCTCTAGAACTGTGTAATAACACACCTGTAGCATCCACGATGCCAGAGACCATAGCAAAGAGACGCAGAAGGGCCGTGCGAATTTTGCTTATCCTGATTTTAATATTCATTGTTCTCAATTTTCCGCTACATTCTTTTCGATTGGCCAGACATGTCTTTAAGCAGACTATTACTGGAGCGTCAACAATCGGACATATATTTCTGATTCTTACCTTTACCAACAATTCCTTGAACGTTTTCTTCTACGCTTTGCTGAACGAGGACATAAAGACGGCCTGCTTGATGTGTTGCAAAAGGGGAAGAAATCAGGTGGTTCCTTCCGCTAGTACTAATCAAACAAATAAGACAATCCAACAACCAACCAGGAATCCGCATGTGTCATAGTGTATCCAGGAGTGATGATTTATAATTTTGTTTGTCAGTCATTCTACGATTGCAGAGCCAATTCATGGTAGATGTACATGTACTTATATACATGTATAACATGAAAAAATAAGTAGCTTTATATAGCCAATTTACACCATATAAACAAATTCTTTAAACAATGTTTCACTACACTTAACAAGCTAATTCAGAGAATTCGTGTCCCCCGCTTAGGGAAAAAGTCGGATCCCCCTGACTGAATTTGTAGAATTATTAAAAGTATACATGTATACTGAAGCAAATAAAATACATGTATATCAATATGCATATAAAGGTTTGATTGCTTATTCTTTATTATGTGTATAGAAGATTCTTTTTATATGGAATATTTATCACACTGTAATGATGATTTTATAACCTCATAAATTTTTCATTTCACATGCTGAATACTATCATTTAGTAAAAAAAGAAAAGTATTAAAAAAAAAAAAAAAAAGGATCGACCGAGATTCGATCCCGTGACTTCTCACATGTGAAGCGAGAGACATACCACTGGACCACGGAATCGCTTTATATGGTAACAAGTATATGCAGAACCGAAGTCACATACATGTATATATTCATGTTCGGTATTCTCAAAATTTTACACAATCCATGGTGTTTGATTTATTTAGCCTTTATTAAACAGTTCTAATAGATGTAATAAGAACATAAAGTCCGCCGAGAACCTGTTTTATACGCAATAACTCTCCTCATGCCCCTGTGCTAAAATAGCGACATGTAATACTATAAATACTAATAAAACAAACGGGGCGGGGCACTTTGAGAGGGGTGAGAGAGGTCCTAGGGAGTTTTGGTATAAAATTATATTGCATAAGCTCAAAATCTTCTTGAAATATCGCCCGGAAATGATAGTGTTACATACAGACAGAATGTATAAATTTACGACCTTGAACTTTGACCTTTTGACCTTAAAATCAATAGGGGTCTTCCTTAGGCCACAGGGAGTTGTTATGTAAAATTTCGTGTGGAAACGAAAGTGTTATAACAGACAGCATTTGCTTATTTATGACCTTGACCTTTTGACCTCAAAATCAATAGGGGTCTTCTTTAGTCCATAGGGAGTTGCTGTGCTAAATTTCATTGCAAACGCTCAAAGGGTTCTCGAGATATCGTGTGGAAACGAAAGCGTTACAGACAGACAGAAAGACGGACGGACGGACAAACCCAAACAAGCTAATTCAGAGAATTGGTGTCCCCCGCTTAGGGAAAAAGTCGGATCCCCCTGACTGAATTTGTAGAATTATTAAATGTATACATGTATACTGAAGCAAATAAAATACATGTATGTCAATATGCATATAAAGATTTGATTGCTTATTCTGTATTATGTATATAGAAGATTCTTTTTATATGGAATATTTATCACACTGTAATGATGATTTTATAACCTCATAAATTTTTCATTTCACATGCTGAATACTATCATTTAATAAAAAAAAAGTATTTAACAAAAAAAAAAAAAAAAAAAAAAAGGTTCGACAGAGATGCGATCCCGGGACCTCCCGCATGTGAAGCGAGTGATATAACCACTACACCACGGAATCGCTTTATCTGGTGTGAAGTATATGCAGAAGTAAAGTCACATACATGTGTATATTCATGTTCGGTATTCTCAAAATTTTACACAATCCATGGTGTTTGATTTATTTAGCCATTATTAAACAGTTCTAATAGATGTAATAAGAACTTAAAGTCCGCCGAGAACCTGTTTTATACGCAATAACTCTCCTCATGCCCCTGCGCTAAAAATAGCGACATGTAATACTATAAATACTAATAAAACAAACGGGGCGGGGCACTTTGAGAGGGGCGAGAGACGTCCTAGGGAGTTTTGGTATAAAATTACATTGCATAAGCTCAAAATCTTCTTGAAATATCGCCCGGAAATGATAGTGTTACACACAGACAGAATGTATAAATTTACGACCTTGAACTTTGACCTTTTGACCTCAAAATCAATAGGGGTCTTCAATAGGCCACAGGGAGTTGTTATGTAAAATTTCATTGCAATAGCTCAAATGGTTCTAGAGATATCGTGTGGAAACGAAAGTGTTTTAACAAACAGAATTTGCTTATTTATGACCTTGACCTTTGACCTTTTGACCTCAAAATCAATAGGGGTCTTCTTTAGTCCATAGGGGGTTGCTATGCTAAATTTCATTGCAAAAGCTCAAAGGGTTCTCGAGATATCGTGTGGAAACGAAAGCGTTACAGACAGACAGAAAGACGGACGGACGGACGGACAAACCCAAATTAATATCCCCCGCTTTTCAAGCGGGGGACAATTAATATCCCCCACTTTTCAAGCGGGGGACAAAAAGTACTCTAGTAATCTGATCTCGTTGTAATAATTTCATGTACAACAATTCAGAGATAAATCTGTGTCTTTGGTTATAAAGAAGTGTAATCGAAGCTCATGATTAAACAGGACTCATTAATAATTTCTATTAATAAACTTAAATTTTGACGTTGAGTATAGAAAGGTATAACAATTTTTATGTCTTGCAAAAATTTGGTATAAAGTTTAAATTTAGAATATCGTTACGGAAATCAATCGTTACGGAAGTTAATTTTCAGTAATAAAAATTAATTCTCAACAATAGATAATTATGATTACCGTTCGTTTTAAGATTTTTATGAAAAGAATGAAGTAATTCGCTACCAAGATAACTTTTAAAAAACCTTATTAATTATTCCTAAAGTACAAAAACAATTTAAACATTCATATACATAACCGTTACGGAGATGAATTTTTGACAGAAACTGCGAAGAAATTTATTTTCCCGTATATAATTTTATTATGTCGAAAATGTAACGGTCTTTAAATGAGGGATTCTAATTTCAAGTCAAATAATATTTTACTTGAAAATAGAATCGGTCATATTAAGTTTCCGAGGTCATTTTTTCGGAAGTTCCGGGGGGTAGGGCTGGCCCACAATAGGGAATCCAAGTTTTACATTGAAATACATAAGAAAAATCTTTAAAAATATTCTTCTCAAGAACCGACGTCGATGGAAAGCTGAAACTTATGTGGAAGCATCCTGGGGAAAGGTAGTTTCTAAATTGTTAAAATCATGACCCCCAGGCCAGGTGTAGGACGGGGCCACAATAAGGAATCCAAATTTTACATAGAAATAGGAAAAATCTTTATATTCTTCGCAAGAACAATTGGCCAGAAATGCTGAAACTTATGTGGAAGCAATATGGGGTAGTGAAGATTTTAAATTGTTAAAATCATGAACACCCTCCCCCCCCCCCCCCCCCCCCGGGGGCATGTTCACAGTAGGTATTACAAGGGGGAATTCTGGTTAAAAACGACATGTATTTAATTTATTATTATAACGAAAAAGTATTCGTTCCTGTAACAAAGTTTTTGGCGAGTACTTTTTATCGCGAACTTGGCCTTCAACGTCAAATCTCGAAAATTATAATTGAATGGACGGTTGATCAACAAAATTCACAAAGATTTCAGCACCAGAAAAATAACAGCAAGATTTATTTTTTCGCGAGTAATGCTTCTCGCGAAATTACGCGGAAATTAATTCCTCGCGTATAATTAGGAATCTACAGTATTTTCTAAAAGTATAGAGATCGTATAGGCTATTAATTCAAGTCTTTGTAAACATACGGAGATAACGAACAGTATTCAAGATCAAAAGTCCATAAAACAATACAAAATAGGAGCAGAGCAAACATGGACCTCAAAAACGTCAGAGGTTGGATTAGGTGCCATGGAGGAGTGAGCATCCCATGCCGGTCGGTCACACCCGCTGTGTGCTCCTTGTCGGGAAAATCCGTCGTCAATTCAATGTATAAATAATGGACTAACTATTAGTATGAAAAACGTCAGTCAGTATTTGATCAATGATAAATTCTATTGTGACAAGTTTTCTTGTCTTAAGAAATTTGATCAGCAGGGTGGGGTGGGGTGGGGTGGGTTGTTACACCTTCACTTTCATGCAGATTTCTTTGGTCTTTCTCAATAGTTTTTTAATATAACAAGTATTTATTGATATAAAGAACATTTCCTCTTTGAAAAAGCCTTGCATACAAATATAGATTTTTTTTATTATCATCTGAACTTTATAATTTTGAGTGAACGTGACCATACCGACAGAAATTACGTACTCTTCATCACTGAAACTGATTTGAATATAAAGTAATTTTAAAGAATACATATATTTCTTAATACCAAATTATTAATAGTAAATATGCAAGGTCATGTTGTAAATTTTGAGTTTACTACTGTTACCCGGTAGTTTTAAATTATACAATATTACAACATTTAGGACTATTTCCTTTTAAGCTTGAATTTCAGTAAGGCGTGGCATTTTTGACATTACATAATTAGCTTCTGTTTAAACAGCTTTCCTTCACTGTTGAAATATACTTGGGATAGAAATTCGGGCAAATGCCAAGTAGTGTATCAATAACATTGTCTCTTCCCGCAAAGAGGTTGAGCTTAAGTCGTCTCATCGTTGTCAACAACAATTAAAAGTTCCTTATGTTATTAATTTCTCAAGCAATGAGAATCTATTTGGCAATTGAGAGCCGCTATTTACGTAGCGCCGAGAATGCCACGCCTTACTGAAAGTCTAAAACTTACCTGGAAATGGTTCTAAAAAGCGTTATTTAAACAATAGATAAGGGTGACTGGAAAATAACCTCTTTCGCATGTTTCGGGCAAGTGTAAAATGAACCCCAGCAGCCATTATGCTTTTTAAGCAACACTGGTTAGTCATGATCTTGCAAATACACCATGTTCATGAACTCAACTCTGCGTCTTAAAAAAAATACCTACACTAGTATACGATATTAATAAATGTCCTTCACATTAGATTGTCAACCATTTTTTTTTTAATTTTATAAGTTAGAGTAACTTGACAGTTGTCCATGTAATTAGTATCATGAGTAAAATTATATGTATCTATTATTAGTTTTTTATATAGTATTTGCTATTTTTAATGATTTTTTTAATTCAGGTAATAAATAAAAATATTTAATTTTAATGTATATTATTCTTTCCATATGCTAGTATTCTCTTTCTCCAAATCACAATTATGATATAGAGTATAACAGTAATTACATGTAATTATCTTGGACAAATTCAGTTTCGCGCATATTTTTTTCAATATCTAAAATTCAAATGTGTGGAAAACGGGAACAAACTCTGCATATTAATCCACCCCTGATAGGCGTTTTGATAGTCACACATATAATAAGCAGTTGGTGTGGCCTTCAGTCCATTCCTAAAAGTAAGTCGATTCAATCATGCGGAAAAGCTTTTTCAACGGATGAATGTATTACATAACCTGATAATGGCGATAATGAAAGGGTCAATGCTTGGTCTTGGTTTATCCCCGGGGAGTCACAAGCCATTTAATGTAAATAAAAGTACAATGAAAGTAAGAGGGGTCTTTTATGTCGACTTTGTTTAATTGGTGAAAAACGACATATTCAATAATTGAATGTTTGTCAATTTCGTCTAACGGGAAAAGGGTAACGGATGTTACATGGAGCACTCTCGTGTATATACATGTATCTAGAGAGTGGAAGTCAAGTTATGTATACGAGAATATAAAGGAGTAATACACCAAGTATGGAATTGCTGCGGCCTTAAAAACGTTATCCTGTACATGTTTGGAAGAGGGAAAAGCATAACTATGATAAGATGGACAAGCAACAGCAAAGGGTCTTTTTAACATTGGATGTAATATTTATGTGTTGGATTATTGTTTTCAACATTTCATCAATTGTTGTCATTATACGAAAATCAAAATTGAGGAATCCCAAAAATTACCTGTTAATTTGCCTTGCTTTTTCGGACCTGTGTATTGGTGTGTTCGTGATACCAAATGTAGTGTTCTTATCGCTTCATAATTCTCCTGTGTCTGCCTTGGTTTGCCAAATGTGTATGTATTCCGAATTCATGGCAAAGGTAGCCCATGCGTGTTCGATTGTTGCACTTGCAATAGACCGATTTATAGCAATACAGTTTCCTATGAAGTCAAAGCAACTTAGAACCCAGAGAAACTATATGTTTGTTGTTGGTGCTATAACCGTTTTCTCTCTCCTGTACGGCATTCGTGGGCCTACCCTTTACAGACAGACAGAAAAAGTCATCCCAAGCCAGAACAACGGTAACAACACAGTGGTGAAATACCTATGTAAAGTTACAGATGATGTAATTCCCATTCATTTAGGATTTTTGATTGTGGACTTTCTAGTGCTTTTTCTTCTTCCCGCCATTGTATTAATCATCTCAAATACTGCCGTATCCCGGACGTTAAGCAAGAAAGCAATAACAAGGACCGGAAAGATCCCTCCGCCATTACTTGCCACAAGGAAGAAAGCCATGCGTCTTCTGCTTATTATGGTCGCCATCTTCATCATCCTGAACTTTCCACTATGGTATTATCGAATGGCAATGGACATTTTTAAGCAGAATATCCCGAATTCCGCAATAGTGAAACACAGTTTTTTGCTTCTAGTTTTCTTTTATAACTGTTCTAATGTGTTCTTTTACGGGATGCTGAATAGTGAGTTGCGCATGATGCTGTTTAAGATATTCAATGCGTGTGGACTCTGCCAAGACGTGGATATGTTAAGAAGGTCCAGCTTCATGAGTCATTGCTCCTCCAGTAACACAAGTTTATACAACATTTCAAGAAGAAATACGAACTCTTCACTGCGACAGATGACAGTAATTGTTGAGAATACTTAACTAATACATGTCTTTGAAAGAAACCTTCATTTCATTATTAAACTTGTAAAATTTAAAATGCGTTTTGACTTGTGACCTTACATTTTATCCAAGAATGAAAACTACATTCTACGTGTAGATCCATTTTGAGCAAATTGATTGTGACGACGTGTTCAATTCCTGCAATACCGCAACGTGAACAAATTTAACACCTCAATTAATAAGAAACAAAAAATAAAACTATGCATCCACTTCATTATATTTCAGAAATGTACACACTAGTCCATCATGCTTTCCCTACCAATGCAGTCGCATTGACAAAAGAACGGAAAGATACACTTACAAGTCATGTATTTGTACAATGGATGTAAAGGGAGTTAACGCGATAAGATATAATTATACATCTCATAATAAAAGCTTTATTATTGATTGTCCAATTGTCATCTTATTTCCTAATTACAGCATTAAAATTCATAACAAAAAATTAAGTAAATTTTAATATATTCTATATTTGATGAAATATAAGTGTGAATGGATGTCAATTCAACAAAGAAAATTTATAATGTTTCCCAGAAATTGTTGAGAATTTTTTGATACATTTACATGTCTATCCTAAAATGTTGAATTAATAACGTATAATTTAACATCTGTGACTGCTGATGTTCAAATATTACTATCAAAAAGGAACCCTATTTTAAAAGTATTTGCAGACTGTTTAGCCAGTGATATTTCTAAAACTGGGTATATTTCGCCGTCTACTTTGTATTTCTTGCTAGAAAATATTTTAAAAAGAAGAGGAATTAAGGTAAAGAAAAGAGTTGTAGAGCTAGAGTAAACTCAAAAATCACATATCAAAGAAGGATAGGACATTTGCTCATTAGAAACTGCATTTGGTTTAGAAAATGAGTTTCACTCCTATTGTAGCCCTACTCTGTCTTTCTCTCTGCTGAATTCCTATCCATTTTTCAATATTTTGACATACATGAATCGATAATAGACAATTAATGAAATATCATGTTTCAGAGGCATCCCTGCTTTTGTACTTCTTTGATAATAAATATCTATAATATGGTTTCTTTTTTAAAAGCACTCATTTTGAACATTAGCAATCGACTGGAAGAATGCAAAGGAAATGGTAAATTATTCGTGTAAACTGCATTGTACATGTAGCTGTGTCATTTGATAAAATAAATCACACATCATTTAGTGTGAAAAAAAATTCTGTGCAATATTTTAAATGATTGTATTAAACAATGTTAAATGAATTGTATAAAAAGCATGGAACTAAAGCATTAAAAAAAAATTTCAAACTATTAATATTCCAATTTTTTTTAATATTTAAAAATCCAAAAAATATTCTCAATAATTTCTGGGAACACTATAATTAAAATCAGTAACAAAGCTTTGAAAAGATTAACATGTATATTTATACAACATTTATACATGTACATATTGATCACATAGTTTATCTGAGAAACTGACAATCTCTTTTTATTTAATTCATTCTTATAAATCACCATCTCACATACATGTATCATCAACAATGATATTGTTACTGATAAAACCTTGTCATAGTATTTTTCATCTGAAGAAAAGGGGTACATGTGTGTGAAAATGCAAGCCATTTAAAATGCAAAAAACAAAATTATCTTACGTGTACATGTATATCATATTTTACAGAAGAAAACAAGCCAAATAATACTGTATTTTGTAATTGTAAAGCAATGTTACATGCATTTATGTTATTTTTATAACACAGACACACAAGTAGTCTAACAAAACAAGAGGCCCAGGGGCCACATCGCTCACCTGAACAATTGGCTGGGAAAAACACATATCAGATCAGAACTGAAAGTTTACTGGGGGGAGGGAGGCTTGAATTTTAACCCCCCAGGGGGTCATGATTTGAACAAACTAGAATCTACAATACCTGAGGATGATTCCCTATAAATATCACTAAGCATGGCTTTGAAGTACTTGAAAAGAAGATTTTAAAAGGTTTTCCTATATATTACTACATGTATTTAAACTTTTATTGGCCAATTGGCCCCACCCTACCCCAGGGGATCATGAATTGAAGAAACTTGAATCTACACTACCTGGGGATGATTCTACAAGAGTTTCATCTTTCCTGTCTCAATGGTTCTTGAGAAGAAGATTTTTCCTATATATTCCTATATAAAACTTTGATCGGCCATTTTGGCCCCACCGTACCCCCGGAGGTCATGATTTGAACAAACTTGAATCTACACTACCTGAGTATGATTCCATATGAGTTTCATCTTTCCTGGCCCAGTGGTTCTTGAGAAGATTTTAAAGATTTTTCCTAATATATTCCTATGTAAAACTTTGATCGACCATTTTTCCCCCACCCTATCCCCGGGAGTCATGATTTGAACAAACTTGAATTTACACTACCTGAAGATGATTCCACATGAGTTTCATCTTTCCTGGCCCAGTGGTTCTTGAGAGGAAGATTTTAAAGATTTTTCCTAATATATTCCTATGTAAAACTTTGATCGACTGTGGTTCCTTCCTACCCAGGCGATCATGATTTTGAACAAACTTGAATTTACACTACCTGTGGATGTTTTCACATGACTTTCATCTTTCCTGGCCCAGTGGTTCTTGAGAAGAAGATTTTTAAAGATTTTTCCTATATATTCCTATGTAAAACTTTGATCGACCATTTTTCCCCACCCTACCCCCGGGGGTTATGATTTGAACAAACTTGAATTACACTACCTGAAGATCATTCTACATGAGTTTCATCTTTCCTGGGCCAGTGGTTCTTGAGGAGAAGATTTTTAAAGATTTTTCCTATATATTCCTATGTAAAGCTTTGATCGACCATTTTGGCCCCACCCTACCCCCAGAGGTTATGATTTGAACAAACTTGAATATACACTACCTGAAGATCATTCTACATGAGTTTCATCTTTCCTGGGCCAGTTGTTCTTGAGGAGAAGATTTTTAAAGATTTTTCCTATATATTTCTATGTAAAACTTTGATCGGCCATTAAGGCCCCACCTACCCTCGGGGGTCATGGTTTGAACAAACTTGAATCTACACTACCTGAAGATGATTCCACATGAGTTTCATCTTTCCTGGCCCAGTGGTTCTTGAGAACAAGATTTTTTAATAATGCCATTAATTTTTCTCTAATTCATAATTATCTCCCCTTGGAAAAGGGCGTGGCCCTTCATTTGAACAAACATGAATCCCCTTTACCCAAGGATACTTTGTGGCAAGTTTGGTTGAAATTGGCCCAGTGGTTCTTGAGAAGAAGATGAAAATGTAAAATGTTTACGACGACAACGACAACGAAGACAGACGACGGACAAATTTTGATCAGAAAAGCTCACTTGAGCCTTCGGCTCAGGTGAGCTAAAAATCTGTTGTACTTGAATATTGACATTCAATATGTGTGACCAAGATAAAATAAAAAGACATGAAGGTTTAAGAATAGTTAAGTACATTTTCAAGTAAAGAACACATCAACATTCAAAAAATAGATTAAGTTTTAAAATTTAAAACATTGAAAAAAGTGTATGAGTACATATGGTACATGAAAAAATCATCATTCAGTTGGTTCACATAGTTACATGTATCACTTAATAAAAATTCTAGAGGAAAATAAAGGCACATTTTCATTATTATGTGTGTGTGTCTGCTTTGTAAATTATACTTTTCATGTACGATATTCAAATACTGATAGCATGTTACAAATATGGATAAAATAAAAAAAAAACATGTAGTAGTTATTCATGCTTACATATGATAAAAATTTGGCATAGCTTTAACTTGACAAACCACAGCCTATTAATCCTCTAATGTAAGACTTCAACTCTATGACAAGTATTGCTACAAATAAGCACCAAAAAATTTCATTAATAGATTAAATAAATTTCATATTCTATCAAACCGGGCATCAATGCTATCAAATTTATCAATATTTTTCAATACTTCATACAGTACATGGATTAAAGTAGCTTAATTTTTTTTTAAAAAGTAAAAAAGAAATGAAGTTAAGTTCCTTTAAATACCTCAATCAAGATGATTTTAAATATTGATAAAACCAAATTAAACTTTAATTCTTTTGATTTTATATCATTATGGAAAATAGATAAGCAGAGATCATGTTCTGGGCCATAAAACTTAAATGAGCTCACTTTTGATATCCGTCTCACTTTTACCAATGGAATTAGTAGTAGAAAAGAGAGACTGAGAGCAAAAGTGAGCTCATTTGACTTTTTATGGACCCTGAACCATATCAATATGCGAGTTTCGAGACTGTAACTCTCTTACAACAGAGACGCAAAAAGTATCCAAATCAGCATGGAATTGGGACGGGTTGCTGTGTATACAAACGTGCATAAATAAATGAAAGAGTTTTTGGCTTTTAAAATTCATATAATGTTATAAAAAAGATAATAACAGTAAGGCCCCAAAAAATTAATCAATTGTTTCTCAGGCACCGCCGCATCAGTTCAAAAACGGCCGCATTGATCAATTTTATTGACATATTGAAAAGGGAAATAACCCAATTTTCTAATTTTCCAAGTTGAAAAAGAAAATCGAGTTATTGCCCTTTTCATAAATGCTAAGATAGACGTTTATATTAGAAAAACAATGTCTTTCTTCTAAATCTACAGTATTTTATAAGTTAACTTTTAAATAAATGTTTGGAATAACATTATTTAAAGTTGAATACATACTATAACTAATTTCAGAGAATAAAACTTAAAAATTACTTCAATTAGTAGATATTATCATTTTATGAGAACAAATGACTTTTAAAAAAGGTGTAGACTAAATCCTGCTTCAAAAAAAAAAAAAAAAAAAAAAAAAAAAGCCTGCCTGCCGCATTGAATTTAGATTTTTTTGGCCTGAGAAACAATTGATTAATTTTTTTTGGCCTAATGCATTTTAAGATTTCATTAAGCTCAACTATGCATATTTAATTTACATATCTACTTTCAATTAGGATATTTGAAAACTTGTAGTCTTTATAAAAAAATAAAAGATTTCCTTCATTATGCAAACCTTTGCTAAAAAATTAGCGGGCTCCTTGAAGTTATAGTAAGGGAAAGAATCATTCAGATAGCTGACATTCAATGTCAGATCAGATATATATGTATTTCCTAGAGACCCATATCTCTTTCCTCGTCTGAAAAGTCTTACTTTGATTGATATTTCCTTTTGTTACAATTGTTTTGTTTAAAAAAAATTACGTCCTTTCATCAGTTTGGTTCTTTTTGAGTTGAAGAGTACATCCTGACAATCATGTACATGTAGTTATGATAAACCAGTATATCAATGATGCAATGTGTTTAATATAACTAAGTGTCCCACCTGTCTGTTAATGCAGCAACAAAACTCCCCTCCTCAATGAAAGAGTGCAGAAAGGGAGATAATCTCGAAACTTGCGTATTGCTCCAAATGATCATTTTTTTAGCAATTTCTGATTAAGTTGATGTGTTCTTTCTTATTCGATATATACCAGTGCTTAAAGCGCAATAGTGATAATGGTTTTAAACAATAAAGATATATTTACATAAAGCTGCCCTCCATATTTGAGCCAACAGTAGATGTCCCATTTAAAAGATAGATAATAGATAATACATGCATTGTGATAAAACAATATACTAGGCACTTACATAGTCAAAAGCTTTCTAGAATTGTTATGCTCGGTATATGTTTTATCTATGGGCATTTCTGCTTTCTGAGAGCACCACGATCAGCACACATCATGAAATGGTTACCATAGATCCGTCCAATGGATATTGCAACTGCTTTATGGTTATGGGAATAAAGCTGCCAAGCTATTCACACTCTTTAGCAGTCTGTTGCAGGAGCATGTATGCCTTGAATGGGACAAGTGACCATGGCCCTGATTTTTTCTGCGGTCAAGCGGGGCGCTGTTTGCAGGGACAGCCAGCGAGGGACTGGGATGCTAGTCTGAGTATTTAACAGTTTTATTTCAATCAAGACAGTTGAATGATAATTTTGAATGTTAACCTTTCTGATCAAACCCATCAGTTCCATCCGGACCACGTGGTTGTCTCAAAATAGCCACAGTACAGTTATTATTCACGTTAAGTCTTCCATCTTCTAGCTGCATCAGCCTCGGTGGTCTGGAATTAAAAAATAAAATATTTCAAAAAGCAAGGTTCTTAAGAGTCTTACTGGCAAGTGCTGTCTATATAAACAATAACAAGATTCCATGGCCACAGTGCTCACATGGATTATCTTGGCCCTGTTATTCTGCTTCAGATTTTTTTCAAATTAACATGTACAGCTGCATTGCTGTGAAAAAAGTTTGATTTCTTGTTAGAATATACCTATAAAATTCACTGCTTTCTAGTCCCTCACTTCTTATAATTCCCCAAGTTTCTTCATGTTGGCATCATAAACTGCATCAATGTCCCGTATTCATGAAAACTCCTTCAAACTTTCATAGCCAAGGACTTTTTTTATATCTTTGCCATTAGGAAACAAACTAACTTTGGTGACCCACTCTCTACTGACCTGTTATTAGTCACTGTGACTTCCTCTTTCACTTCTGTTGATGAAGTTGAGCCTAAGATTCTTCTTCTTGCTTCAGCATACTCTGCTTCTCTTTGTTCCAAAGTCTTTGTAGGTTTGTTATTTGCTCTGCAAATTCAATGAACTCAATATTGAAAATCATTTCAATAAACAGAACATGTAAATACTGATGTACAGGTACATATGCACCTAAATGAACAAAGGTCGCTTTCCCATGTTTACAATGCATAAACAAATATTACATGTATTCCAAAATTCCAAAGTAGCATAGACTGTTGGAGAGATAAGACGTGTTTTTATGAGCTCTTATCAATACCTAGCTGATTACTAAAAATTGATAATGGAATAATGGATCTGAGTGGAAGTTCTAGTATTTTTAAATCATTTTTGAACTCATTTAGTGGATTTTCACAATCTTTTAATGGAAATGATAATGAATTGGACTTAAACCCATCGGCGAATTTACCAGACTTTATTCAGGTTAAGCTTAACACAGAAAGTGTCACCGTAAACTACGATGACCAGAAGCATGAATTTGTGTTATCCGTGCTTCAGAAATTGCTTTCATTTCATGGGAATAATAAGAGGAATGGATGCATTTACAAATCTGTGTGTGATACAGTTACTGTAACTATCTACAGTAGCACACATACCATTCTCATTCAAGGGACTAGAGCGTTTGAATGGTACAGGAACGACTTTCTGAAAGAAATAAATTGTCAACCAGATATAACCCACAATGACTCTGAAACGGAGTGCAAAATTATTGTTGACCAGCCGAACTGTACCTCGACCCCACGGCCCTCTAAGAAACTGAATGAATCAAATATTGCGACAGGATGCGGTGGCCATTGTAAGAGTGCAGAAAGCATAAAACATCTTTCCGAGACAGTGAAAATGCTCACCAAAGAAGTTGAAATCCTGAAGAAGCAGCTAATGGAAGCAGAACAAGCCAAGCCGCATTCTAATACTTCTACACAAACTTGTGGGAAAAAAGTGAAGCAGAAGGAAACTATGACTGAGGGACTCTCTGTAACAAATGGGATTTCAAGGCATACCCAGTGTACAATTACTGTTGAGAAAAGAACCTCCAGTACCTCAACAGATGCAGATGTCAGTCCCAGTCCTGTGTTGAAAAACACCCAGTCCATCAAGAAAGTGACAAATAAAAAGACAGATGCACACATCTCCAAAGAGAGTCAAAATATATCGACCTCTAACAGACAAAACATCATCACAAGAAATTCTCAGCCTCCTGCAAGAGAATATAACGAAATACCGGTATCTACACTTGTCATCGGGAGTTCAATTCTTCAAAGAATAAAAACCCGTGGCTTAGATCAAAGTGTGAGAGTAAGTACAAATCGAGGTGCCAGTATTGCACACATTCGTTCAAAACTACAAAAGTTTGATGTGTCCTCAATCCAAAATGTTATTATTCAGGCTGGAGGAAATGATATTGCAAATTTCCGTAACATTGATGCGATTGAGAACGACTTTGCAGAAATAGTTGCTGATTTAAAAAGAAGAAATCCTAACATTGCAGTGTATCTATCGGAAGTGATTCCAAGACGGGATGCAGATGTAACCGAAGTGAATAAGTGCATTAGATATGTTTGTGAGGAGTACGGTGCTGTGTTAATCGAATCGAATAAGTCATTCAAACACTGGAATTCCCCTTCTTTTTGGAGAGATGGCATTCATTTGTCCGACCGTGGCACTGCTTCGCTTCTCAAGCTCTACAGTACTCATGTGAAAATTCTAAAACATCAAAATTCCTCAACTGTGCAGAACTGCTACTACTGTGGAGAGCAAGGTCATTCTTCGCGCAACTGCCGACACGGTAACAAAGTAACTTGCTGGTACTGTGGTGAACATGGCCACAAGCAGAAATTTTGCACAAAGTAGGATCGCGGCAAAGAAAGCTGTGCCGATTATACGAATTACTGTCCGATTATTAACAATGTCAAAAATTATTTTCACCCTTTGATTAATGTCTGTTTTGATTGTAATGAATCAATTTGCACCTGTCTTTTGTTCAATGATAACTCAAGTAATTATAGCTTAAAATCTGTAAATTCAGATCTATGTAAATCTAAACAGAAAATCCTTTTGAACCAAAATCAAAGAAAACTTTACAATTCCTCTCCAACAACAGACACTCCAAAAAATCATAACAAACAAAATGTGTGTGATTCAAAAGTTGGCCTTTTAAAAAAAGGTCTACATTTTGTAAATTTAAATGTTTGTCACATTTTACCGAAGTTAGATGAATTAATTTTATTTTTACAGGATCAACAAAATGTTGACATTTTTTCTCTATGTGAAACTTTTCTTGACGAAAATATTAGTGATTGTATTATAAATGTAAATGGATATACTTTTGAAAGAAAAGATAGAAAAGGAAAGGCGGGTGGTGGACTAGTTACATATATTTCAAATGATTTGAAATATAAACGGCGAACTGATTTAGAAATTAGTAATTTAGAAACATTGTGGCTTGAAATTAATCTTAAGAATTCTAAACCTATACTTTATTGTTCAGTTTACCGTCCACCATCTGCCCCCTCCTGCTGGGTAGACGATTTTGTTAGAGAGGTTCAGTGCGCTACCTGCTGTGACGATCAGGAAGTGATTATTACAGGTGATTTCAATATAGATATGCTCAAAGACCCCCCGCAGAGTTGGTCATCTGCAATTGTAGATTTGGGATTAACACAATTAATTAACACCCCAACAAGAATTACCAATAGCTCTAAAACTCTCATTGACCATTTCTACACTACGCACCCTGCTAACATATGTGAAATATCAGTACCCCCTGTAGCAATGTCTGACCATTATCCAATATGTGCTACCCGAAGATCTAACAGCATGCAACGCAAAGGCAGACACACTGAAATACAATACCGTGACTTTAAAACCTTTAATGAACATGATTTTTTGCATGATTTAAATAATGCAAATTTTGATGAATTAATTCTCCTGCATGATCCTGATGAAATTTTAACATATTTTTATGCAATTTTCAATTCTGTACTTAATAAGCATGCGAAAGTTAAAACAAAGCGTGTGAAATCAGAAATTCGCACTAAATGGTTAACTCCAGAAATAAATGAGGCTAGGATTAAAAGAGATCAATTCCATAAACAGGGAGACATGGGCAATTTTAGATTTTGGAGAAACAAGGTCACCTCTCTAATTAATGATGCAAAATCTACATATTATAAGACAGTAATTGAAAATAGTTCTACATCAAAAGAAATGTGGGGTCATTTAAATCAGCTTTCCTCAAAATCAGATAAATATTCATCCCCTTCCAATATAACTTATAATGGATTAGAATTTGATAATTTAAAAGACATTTCAAATGCTTTTAATGAGCATTTTGCACATATTCCAAGAAAATTGTTAAATAATCTTTCATTGACTAGTTTTGATTCAGAAAAATTGAAAAGATACACGGAAACAAAACTTGGAGATCAAGACTTTTTTGAAATTCCATTGATTAATGAAACAAAAGTATTTGATATGTTAAATAGGCTTGACATAAACAAATCTGCTGGCATAGACTTTCTTGGACCCAGATTACTTAAAATTTCAGCTAGTGTAATATCCAAACCTCTAACACACTTAATAAATTCCAGCATAATCAAGGGGTCCTTTCCTTCACAGTTAAAAATAGCAAAAGTAACTCCTCTATTTAAAAAGGGTGATAAATCAGACCCAGGAAATTATAGACCAATCTCAATCTTACCAACTATTTCGAAAGTCTTAGAGAAGCATGTAGCAGAAAATATACGAATCTTTACTTCTCACTATGATTTATTAATGAAAGCACAATCTGGATTTAGAGAATTTCACTCTTGCCAGACAGCTCTCACAAAACTAACTGATAATTGGCTACATGCAATAGATGAAGGAAATTTCGTTGGCATTACTTATTTGGATTTTAGCAAAGCATTTGATCTCGTAAATCATGATATACTTATTACTAAACTTAAATGCTACAACTTTGATCCTATATCGATTCAATGGTTTGAATCATACTTAAATGATCGAACGCAGAGTGTTAAAATTGGTGCGTACACATCTGAATCACTGCCTGTCACAGCAGGTGTGCCACAGGGATCTATTTTAGGTCCCTTGTTATTCCTGTTATATATTGCTGATTTACCATTATCTGTTGAACATTGTAATATTGATATGTTTGCTGATGACACTACAATGCATTTTCATGGTAACAATATTTCATATATTGAAGCAGCTCTGAATCAAGACCTTTTTCAAATACAAAACTGGTGTCAACAAAATCAGATGATTTTGAATACGGACAAAACTAAGAGTATGTTAATGGGAACACATCAAAAGAAATCAAAATTAGAAAACGCTAATCTTCATTTACAACTTTCTGGCCAACCCCTTGAAAATGTTACAACAGAGAAATTATTAGGTGTTCACATTGATCATAATCTTCAATTTACTAGTCATGTAGATGCAGTTTGCAAAACTCTTGCTTATAAATTATTTACTCTACGAAAAATTAAGAAGTTCCTTCCATTGCATACTAGAAAGCTATTTTATAACGCATTTATTTTACCATCAATTTTATATTGTCTATCTATTTGGGGTAACTCTCCTCAAACTCACATCGATAGAATATACAAACTTCAAAAACGAGCAGCTAGGATTATTTTAAATGAAAAATACGATGCACCTTCAATGCCCTTGTTTAACATATTAGGCTGGTTAACAGTTCATGAACTTCTATATTTACAGAAAAGCATTCTGATGTTCAAAACATTCCATGGTATGTCTCCTGATTATATGCATGATTTGTTTGAATTTCAAAGTTGTGGATCATACACGCTACGCTCACAGACAAATTCAGAACTTCGTTTACCAAAATTTAAAACTAATTTATTTAAAAATTCTTTGCAATATTCAGGGGTTATTATATGGAATGAGTTGCCTATTAGTATAAGGAATTCCCAATCCCTTTCAATATTTAAAAGTAGGGTAGAACATTTTTTACTTATGAAACGTTCTTCATGAAAAAAAAAAAAAAAAAAAAATTTTCATTCCTCTGAACTTATAATGAAACGAAAGTGTTTAATTTATTCTAGTGTAACATAATGTGTGTTTATATCTTATTGTTCCATGTTTGTGATTATTGTCTTTATTATTGTATAAAACATTGTATATGTGTTTTTAAGAAGGCCCCGAGGAAGACTAGTGCTCGCACTAATCGGATTACCTTCTATAAATAAAGTATTATTATTATTATTATTATTATTATTATTATATCTACACAAAAATACTGTCACATAATAACCCAAATTCCAATTTCAAGTTTCAAATTGTTTTTAAAATTGCCAATTTAACTCTGACATAGTTAATTATGGTGTTATCTTTCTGTTTACTATGTCAGTATGTGATAAATTTAAAAGTTTTTTGACCACAGATAAACAAAATTTACTTTGTACAGAATAATCAATATGTAAAATATTTTTTCCCCAAGGAAAGAATTCATTTCTCATTTCTGAATTATTTACACAATTTCCAGATTTCTCCACTTAATTCTTTTCTTCACTTTATAAATGTACTCTACAATAATTTTCAAAGACAAGAAAATTTCTCGCAGGATACATGTAATTGTTTTGACAATCTGACAAGTAAAATTCACTAATTTTGATAAATCTAATTAAACAGTCAATCTTGCCTTGTCCCTTGGTTTGCTGTAGAATTAGCATCTGATTTCCTTTTTAGTATGCGAACCTGTGGAGCATACTGTGTTCTATTTCCATCTTCAACCACAACTGCTTCTGATGCAAGTCTACAAAAAATAAAAAGGCAAACACTGACATTTATTTATTTCATTAATAAAACTCATTAATAAAATAAATAAACTGTACCAATACGTTCAAGCAGACATCATGCAACCTTAAAAGATCAGAGACATGCAATATAAAATATATTTTATTAGGCCTCTAAGGGTTGTGATATGATGTATATTTTTGTGTTCGTCTCAGTAATGTTGAGTGTCTTATGCTTGAAACTGGAAAGTTCCAAAACGTAAAAAAAAAAAAAAAACATTTTCTATAACAAAAAAATCTTTCTTTTGGATAGTTAAATTTGGTATAATTTAACAAATTTAAACAGCTCTCTCCAGTTTTAGACTAAATTTAAATCATTATAATTAAGAATTCCCTTTCATTACTTTCACAATAATGCACATGAATATACAAGCATAGACAGTCCTAAAAACATTGAAATATCTTCTCAGTCCATGTGCACACTGCTAATACAGACTTACTTTTTGGATTCCTTTAATTTCATTTCTTCTAATTTCTTGTCAAGATCCTTTAAAATAAAGAAAAATTCTGAAATCACAAAATTGTCAGGAAAAAATCCACAGTTGTAACAGTGCATGTCAACATTGTAGACATACAATGTTTATTTGAAGTGAGAATATTACAAAAATATGTGCATTTTTCAGAGAAAAATACATCAGGGCTCGACATTAATGCTTGTCCGGTACTGATGAAAAAATTTATGGACAAGTGAATATGCTGGGAACTAGTCCAATTGGACAAGTCACTTTAGTGCATTTTAATGTAAAAGTCTCTTTATCATGTTTATAATAAAAAGAACAACTGTTGAAAGTTAATTCGTAGTTTCAAGTCAGAAGCTGTACATAAACCCAAGCTTCAATTGCTATTAATTGAGATCACATTCAATCAGGATCCAAGTTCACTAACTGCATACTTCTGGAAAGGCATGGAGCTTACAAAGTTTGGATTCTGTTGGATGTTGACAGGTTCACTTGTGAACATTTATGTTGTTGTCAGGACAGAAAGCCTAGATAAAATTTCATTTTCTTTTTTTTGTTGTATTTATAAATAATATCATGAATCAATCAAAATTTACAATAATATCACGGATCAATCAAAATTTATTGAAAAATTTTCAGACAAGTGAAGTTGAAGTTCCGACAAGTTAATGTCTTGCCGAATGGTTACTTGTTTGAATGGACAAGTAGGAAAAAATGTTAATGTAGAGCCCTGTGCATATATAACTGCTCCCTATATAACACCTAAAACTTGGTTAATCAATATTTAATTTAATTGATACTTTCAGTTACTTTCCAAAAATCATGACAGAGTAAATCCATTCTCTTATTTACTAGATTGCAAATATATAGAACATGTTCTGAATGTCAGGGACCAACCTAGACCAAAAATTTAGGGAGACTTCACTTCTCCCTCAGAGAATTTTAGGGAGAAGTTTCAAATTTTAGGGAGACTTCTCAGCGCGCGCAATGCGCATGAATTATTTAATGAAATTTTAATGTATATTCAACCATTGATTTCTTTGAAGTATTCCATCATTCTAAACCTATTTAAGGAGACAGAAAATGTAGGTCTTTAAACAATGTATTTAATTATTTTTTCATCAATTAATTAGTCATCAATTCATAGCATGAAAATACATTTTTACACAATCCATTTAAATGGCTGTCAACTTGTACAAAATGAGTTTTGAATCAGTATTTACAAATTTTACACATGTACACATCATTTCAAAACTTTAAGATTGAAAAAGTTTTCTCTTTTTTTCATCTTTCCAGATTTTCAGAGCCTTAGCAAAGTCAAAGTTTTCAATTGATGGACCATCCTCTGAAATCCTCATTAAGTCATTCACTGAATTATTATTCAAGTTTGTTCTTAGCCTTGATTTGATCCGATTTTGAGTGGAAAACCCCCTCTCACAGGTAGCACTGTTCACTGGCAACAGTGTGCAACACTGAACAAGTTTGATGACGTTTGGCAGGATATCCTCATATTCTGAACCAAGTTTCTCACAAACTTCACTCAAAGAAGATGTTGCGAAAGAGCCTACCACAAGTCTTTTGTACTGTTTGTATTCCATAGGTACTTGATCCGTTTCTATTCCTTGGACAGCAAAATGTTCAGCTAAAACAGCTACACTTTCATTTCCAAATTTGGCTAACTCTCCTTTTTTGTGAGCTGAAGTGATATGAAGAGGCTGTAACACTTGCATTTTTTCAATTAATCCACTTTCTTGAAATCTATCTTTCAAATTCTTTACTATGTTGTCCACATATTGTGGCATGATAGATCTGAGAATGTTTCTCTGCTGGGAAAAGAATTTGACTTGAACTCCTTGTTGTCCTTCATCTTCATCATCAGAGCTCTCAAATCCATCAAAACCATCAATGTTAGTGTCAATGGCCTCTTGGACAACTGATTTTTTGCTTTCACTCTCAGGTCGATTGTACGTTACATCATCCCCATCTATAGTAGTAAATTCCTCAAGTTTATCTACATAGATGCCTTGAGCCTTTTTGAAATCAAGAAGGGCTTCACAGGTACTTTCCACTATTGGTGTAAGTTTACTCTGGTCCAAGTCCTTGGTTTGGAAAATCCGACTCAATCTACCCAGGAAAGGCAAAATGTCCATCAGCATATGAGTAATTGCAATGAAACTGTACTGGGAAACTTCTGCATGAATTCCCCTTGCAGCTGGGTTGGAAGTTCCTTCATGCTCTAGGGCTATAAGAAGGGCAGGGTAAGTCCTATAGAGAATTTCAACTGATTTCTGAAGACTTAACCATCTCACAGAGTGAATTTGGGCAAATTTCAGTGTAGGAAGGTTAAGCAGCATTTGGATTTCTCGCAGCTTATTTGATCGTAGTGCAGATCCACTGAAATAAAAGAAAATGTTTGACACTGTATCAGAGTATTTTTTCAGTTGAGGAATACATTTTGATGCTTGTGAGGCAGCAAGGGCACATCGGTGTGCAGCGCAGTGAATCCCGACTAAAGCTGGGCTGTATTCTTTGAGCCTCACAATTACTCCATTTTTCCTTCCTGTCATGACGCTGGCTCCATCAGTTCCAACACCAACAAGTTTTGACACATCTAGGCCCTTAACTCTCAGCTCTGAAATCACATGACTAACTATGGTCTCTGCATCTGCCTTGGGTGTAGAAATTTCTATGTTGCTTAGAAACCGTGTTTCCAGTTGTCTCTCCTGCAGGTAGTGAGCATAGACGAGGAGACGTTTTCGATTTCCCCGGTCTGTGCTTTCATCCAGTGTTAAAGAAAAGATGCCAGAGTTTGTGATATTTTCAACTAGATCGAGTGATATAACTTTAGCACATGCACTCTGAAATTCTCCAACACTTTTGGAACTGGTGTAAGAAAGTTCTTCTTTCAGTGTTTGGCTCCCTATTTCACCCATTAAACTAATGATGTATGGAAATTCTTCCTTAGGTAGCTCTCTCTTGGCAAGGAAATAGGCACACTTAATGTAATGGGTGATGAGTTGCTCATCTTTGTCAAGCTTACTGGCTAGTAGCTTCTGGAGTGGTTGCTGTTTGGCCAGTTTGGACTTTGTAATGGCAGTCAAGTGGAGCTGAGCTGAAATAAAATTGTTGAAAAGTTATTATTTTTTAATTCTGTTCTTACATTGAGCTTAATTTTTTTTCCAGAGTGGTCATTTGAAATCTTGCTAAAAATAACAAAGTTAATGTATGAAAAATAAAATTATTGATATTAAAAATTGTTCAGAAAAAAATATCTATTTTAAGTACAGACACTAATTAACTGTACAAAAAATAAAATTTTAAGGGTTTTATCTCAGAAAGTATTTAAGCGAAGTTTTTATTTTATGCAAAAATAAAATATTAACAAAAAATTCAATAAAACATAAAAACTTACAGGACGCATGTCGCATATGGTTCGTTGTTTTCGCTGGCTTTTCATGACCATGTGCGTATGGATTGTCCAAACCTGCAGCTCTACACAATGTACAGTGCCACTTTTTTTCAGAATCCAATTCATACCATTCAAATGCATTTTGTGTGATTTCTTTAGCAAACTTCTTTCTTGGAGATTGGATTACATTTTCGTCTTGTAACTTTCGCTTACTTCCGGGTTTCGGCGAACCGCCTGTCAGCCACGCTTGTAACGACATTTATTCTTTCTTGTTCAATTTTCTCTTGTGCTCGTTTATACAATAATGATTTTTTATTTTTAGCACATATATATATTTATAAATGAAAACAAAGGACAATAAATATATCAATTTATTATGTCAATATGTGTATACTTCATACTGCCGATCGAGCGATTTCATGTCTTGGACAGTCCAGTCCAATACGAAAAATCGTAATATTACTAAAATTCGTAATATAAGCAATTTCTAACTCTTATAAGAGTTACTTCCCTTTTTTCTGATACAATATCTTTGTTATGTTTCATCAGAGATTATATGTGTCTGGTTTTATCATCGTGGATATGTATGGTTAGTGCATTTTCTTTGTTTTTGTGCATTCGATCCAAGTGCAAGCAGATTCAGAGCCTAGTGAGAGTCTTACAAGTTATCTCTCGTAACATCTCGTTATTTGAGATGAGGGTCTGATTTTCAGGGTAGACTTCGGGAAAAAAATAGGGAATTCGGGGATTATAGACCACTGTGACAAGCTTGAGGATACATTGAAATTTTATGGAAAATTGTTCCCAACCTTGGGAAAATTCTTATATAAGAATAATAAAACAAAATGTTCACTCACCCATTACAATTGTTACTTTCTTCTTGCTTTTCCATACTTTTCAATAGACGTCACTGACCAAGATGACCACGTGATACTAGTACCATTGGGGCATAATGTATTTCTGACGTCATACTTCCCTAAACATCATTCAGTTTTTTTCAATGCTTAATTTTGTCTTGCATTACGAAAACTTGTAATATATTCTCTCTCAACTTGCTATATTATGAGTTTCAGTAATTTAACTATATTACGAAAAATAGTAATATAAGAATAATATTACAATATTCTGTAATATTACGATTTCTTGTAATATTACTATATTTCGTAACATTACGATTTTTCGTATTGGACTGGACTGTTGGATGTTGACATGTGTATAGTAAACGGTACATTTTGACAATAAAATTCTTGATATGCGACTGTATTTATGACATGAGTGTAATATGCAGTTAATTTAAAAGTCTAAAAATCGTCTTCAACAACTTTGACATCATATCGATAGCTGGTCAGGTGTTTTTCGTCTCTTGTGTATTATTTCCACTTACAGACTTTTTCATATGTTAAAGCGTAAATTTTAGAGGTGTTCCGACGGAGTATTCGCTCAGTGGCCAGTAGCAGTGAAACAGATGCAAGCGCCCTGCTGTGATTCATGTTACTTCAACGGTGAAAAACACCATAAATTTTTCTTAAAGACAGTGTCGATTTTACCAGTTGTTCTTGATAGATTTTAATGAATAAAAGAAAATAGGGGGGTTAACATTTTAGGGCGACTTAAACTTCGCTTTTGTGATAATCTACGGCGAAGTTTGGAGCCCAAAAGCGACTATTTCGCCCCAGTCGCCCCCTAGGTTGGTCCTTGTGAATGTTGAAGGGGCTTGTTCAAAGATCCAGTTAGATCATTTAAATTCTAACTTGTTTGTCCGAAACACAGTTACATTATTAGAAAGCAATTTGTTTATAGCCGCCCAATGTAGGACAAATAAGAAGATCATATGAAAATTGACAATAACTGGATGGTGCAATCTTTCAGAATTGTTAGCTTGTTTCAATCGATACAAAATGTTTTTGATCAGCACAGTACATATGTATTAATTATCTCAGGATTAATGTTCCTTCATCAGCATGTCAGATAAGAGCATAATTTGATGAACCCCTTGTCACAAGAGCATAATTTGATGAACCCCTTGTCACAACAAGGAAAGCTTTATAGCATACAAACATCTGGGTTTTTTCCGTTTTAATGAGTATTTTTCAGTCAATTGAAGAAAATGCAAGGGGCTTTGAATGAAAAGATTTAAAAGACTTTCTAGCCTATACTAACACATAGGGCTAGAACTGTAGAAGATAACAACTTTACCCCAGTATCTTCAAACTCCTCCCAGCTATCAAGTACCTCTCCATTCGCGTCTTCTGCCATACTATATATGTGTAAATATATATTTTCTCTCAATATCAAGATTACTATTTCATTTGATTCGAAAGAGGGGTGGTGTTTCTCAAACTATTTTCATTTCAAACGATTTTTGCGACCTGCCAAAAGTGAAGAGGAAGTTCACATAAAAGTAAACTGTAACCGTGAAATATATCCGGATAGAACTAAGCACAATAAAAAAAATATGTTAAGATAGAAAATAATTCAACGTATGGTGTATATTCCATGTATATTGAATCATTTGATAACTATATTTTTTTAATTCTTTAAACTGAATAATTTTTAGTTCTTTGGTAACAAGGTGCAAGATCTACTAAACGTTTATATTATAATCAAGCGTGTATTGGAAGCGTTCATATGATTAAGTTTGTTGTCATTTTAGAAGGACAAACGTGAAACCGTCAGAACAATGTCAAGTGGTGATCATAATCATGTTTCTGCTCATGACAATGCTGTATTGAACAGAATATTCAATCCCAATTTACCATACGGCGATGTTGTGGACGAAGAAGAAGTGGAGAATGAAACTGGTAGTTGCAAAAGCATTTTTTTTTCTGTGTCATCATCCACCCAAATGTTAAATTTATCAATTGCCAGTTGATAAATTTAACTAATTTCTTCAATCAAATGGCAAGTCGTCACCTATGAGGAATGTTTTAATAATACCAATCTAATGTGTTTATGTTGCTTCATATCTTTACTTTATGGCCAAGCAAGTTCAATTTGCAATCTACATGTCAGATTGCTCATGAACTGATGAATGCAGTTGTTTCAGCTGTAATCAGGGTAATAGGAGGAGAGAGAAATGCAGTGGACCAGACTGGGATTCGAACTCTGAGTCCCTCAGAATCTCCAGTCAGGTGCGCTATCATCAGAGCTATCTGGCAACCAGTAATCGACCTGTCTCTTCCAGGGCATGGCACAGCACCAAATGTAATGGGAAAGGAGAAAAATTCAGCAGACCAGAATGAGATTTGAACCAAGGCCCCCTGAATCTGTAGTCAGTTGCTCTACCAACTGAGCTATCCAATCACTGCGAATTCAACCTGATATGACAGCCAAAAAACATTGTCTAGAATTCACAGGATCAAACTAAAGTTTGAATTCTGGTCTGCTCTGCTCGTTTTCTAACTTTCCTTTATATTGTCATGCCTTGGAAGTGACATGTAGGAGTCGTGATGTATTGCTGGGGCTTAATCCTGTTATGAGAAAATGTGACATGATGTAAATTATATACTGCAGAATGTAAGAAAATCTAGCATTTGAATGTTTGAAATCTTTTAAATTAATGTATCTGTTAATACAGAAATTAACCAACGTTTATGAGAAAATATATTTATGTAAGTATTTGTTTCATTTCAGAGGAAGAAACTGATGAAATTAAAGTCTCAAAGCAACTAGAAATTGAAGGGGTCCAAGCAGCTGAGAGTGGGGACATAGAGACAGCATTAAATTCATTCTCCAGGGCCATTCAAAACACCCCTCAAAGGGCCTCAGGTTATAATAATCGTGCACAGGCTCTCCGGCTTAAGGGAGATGTCCAGGGTAAATTATATATAGATAAACATTGATTTGATGCAAGTATTTTTTTATATTCTCAGGCAGAGAAAAAACTTTATTTTTCACTACAATGTATATGATCTAAAACACCACCCTAACACCAGAACCTCTGACCAGGGAATATGAATTGCACATTTTAGAAGAAGTATTCTTGCTTGTCTTAAGGATACACCAAAGGCTTTTTTCAAGATTTTTGTCAATTTTGAGATTTGTGGCTAAAAAAACAATGCTAATGACTGCTTTATGATGCATGAAAAATTCTTCCTGATTATTAAATGGTTTCTAATTATTTAACAATAATCAAACATAAACACTAACACATGTGAATGTGCCGTTATTGAAGCTTCTGATTTGGTCTGTAACTGCCTGCTTCTGAAAGGAGCAATAAATCACTGTGACCACTTGGGGAATTCTTCACTTAGCCACACAGAGGTTAACAGTAATTAAACTACAGGGACTCTACATTTAGGGAAGGAGATCTAACAGGTCACTAATGACCGTGAAATAGGAGGTGGGGCTTAGCTTTTGCCATTTTGCCGGGAAATCTTTCTGATTCAGAAATGAACCTACATATGTATTTTACTTCATTAAAAGCACCTTAATAAAGAATAGAACCTCCCATTCTTGTGAATATGCATAGGAAATATGGATGTGACAGGTATCCAAAGCTGAATCTCCAAGGTGTCATATATTTCTAGTTTTGACAGACTTTGTTGTGTAATGGGTTTTTGCCCTCTACTGTAAAGTAAGATCAGACAGTTGGTGGTATTATTTCAAAGGATTCAGCTCCCTCATTTATTGACCAATTTCTCTGAAAACTGGCCAGAATGCGTCTCAAATGTGTGTTCACAAAACCATATCTCAGATTTTTGATATCTTGCTCAGTTCTCGATTTACTCGGGGAAATGTAGAATTTTGGTATTAAATCAGTAACATTGAAAGAAAAATGAATGTAACTTTTGAATAAGAAGATTTATCAAAAATCTGAGATCCAGTTTTAAAGTTCAATCTTTAATCTACATTCAATGAGGCAAAATTTTGACTTTGAAAGGTGGAATACAAAAAAGTTGATTTATAAAATATAAATGCACTAATATTTATATTAAAATATTAATAATCTGTTAATAAGATAAAAATGAAAGTTTATATCCCAGATAGCAAGACATAGTTGGGCCAACGTTGGCCCAATTTTTTTTCCAACGTTGGCCCACTGTTGGTAACCTTACGTTGGCCCACGGTAATTTTGCTCATCGGCCCAACGTTGGTCCAACATGTTGGCATATTGTTGGGCCAACGTAGGTATAATTGTATGACAACTAACAGCCAACCTTAATAACTGGTTGGTTAGGTTGGCCCAACGTTGGCCCTTTGTTGAAATGTGAGATGGCATATTGTTGGGCCAACGTAGTTATTAGTGTATGCCAACTAGCAGCCAACCTTAACAACTGTTTGGTTAGGTTGGCCCAACGTTGGCCCTTTGTTGAAATGTCAGATGGCATATTGTTGGGCCAACGTAGTTTTTAGTGTTTGCCAACTAACAGCCAACCTTAACAACTGGTTGGTTAGGTTGGCCCAATGTTGACCCTTTTTTTACAATGTCAGTTGGCAAATTGTTGGGCCAACGTAGTTGTTACATTGAAACATTTGCAATTGGTTAAGTGATGCTTTACATAAACCTATTTTATGACTGTTTAAAAAATTAATAAACAATTCAATCTGCATTCATAATGCATACATGGACATGTTCAATGAAAACATTACTAATGATTCACTGTGAAAATATTTTATATACATCAATTCAATCATAATTTACAAAATAAATTTTAAAATAGACAATAGAGATAAATTATGAAAAATTATCAATTCAAAGCTCTTAATCAGGGCTCACTTCCTTTATGCCTTTTGTTGCATCCCCGCTCTTTTTCCGTCCTTCGTCGCCTCCCGTTTTCTTCATCTTGATCTTTGTCATACGTACTCGTACTTTATACACTTCTTTATGCATGGTCTTCGATTTAATTGTTATTTACCGCCACAACATTTGTTTTCCTTGCAGTCTCTGACTGAAAATACAAAATAGTTTGATATTAAAAACAATAAAATTACTGGTCCAACTTATGAATAAATATTACTTAAATCTTTTAATAAAGAGAATGATGTATTATACTATCAGTGCACCTTAATTTCCTTGTTACAATCGTGTCTGTAATAGACAGTTAAGAATTAGATAGAAACAACTTAAAAGATGTTATTTTAATAACCTTAACTTACAGTGCTTGTGTGCAAAAACATGAAAAGAATGAATTCCGAATCAATTTTAACAGTTAACCTGAATAAATAAGAATAAATATACTTACATCGCATCTAAATGCAGCTATAGCAAGTGTATAATCCACAAATTTAAATTTCACTTCTTCTTGCTTGCCCTGCGTTTTCAGTCTATGACCTCACCACATGTGAGCAATTGAATCTGACAGCTCACTCCACAGTTTGGTGTAATTTGATTCCCCCTCTCCAATCTTTAGCGAACGCCTAACTTTTGTTTCAATTTAATTATAAAGCTGTGTCATTTTGATTTATGTATATGTAGGCTTCATTCACATCCTGTTCCTGAGAACTTATTCAGTCTTCTCTAAATTCTCATGAATACAACGCTCATGAAAAAATTCATTATTTCAAGGGTTTTATTTCAAATAAATAAGCATGCATATGCACAATTCAGAAAATATAATAAAACACTCTTTGGCGCTCTGATCACTTAAGTTCAAAGTTAAAATATTGAAAATATCAGATCTAAAAAAAAACAGTCACACAATTAAAAGCATGGACATAGAATGTCCTCTTAATTATTTCAGAATGTGCATCTAAATTAAAACTTAATTAGAACCAACGTTGTCCCAACGTAAAGCTCAGCAGCTAAAAATGACACCATCATTTAGTTGGCAGTATAATAATTGGGCCAGCGTTGGCCCAATATAAATATCCCATCTTTGAAACACCTAAACAAAAGAACACTCGTGCTAACATCGGGCCAACGTCGGGCCAACATACTACTACCAACTTGATAAGACACTTTCTTTAAGGGTGTATTACAAACATAGGGCCAACGTTGGGCCAACATATTACTATCAATTTGATAAGACACTTTCTTTAAGGGTGTATTACAAACATTGGGCCAACGTTGAGCTAACATACTACTACCAATTTGATAAGACACTTTTTAAGGATGTATTACAAAGAGTGGGCCAACGTTGGGCCAACATACTACCATCAACTTGATAAGACGCATTCTTTATGGATGTATTACAAACATCGGGCCAACGTTGGGCCAACATACTACTACCAACTTTAAAAGACACTTTCTTTAAGGGCGTATTACAAACATTGGGCCAACGTTGGGCCAGCATACTACTACCAACTTTAAAAGACACTTTTTTAAGGGTGTATTACAAATATTGGGCCAACGTTGGGCCAACATACTACTACCAACTTTAAAAGACACTTTTTTTAAGGGTGTATTACAAACATTGGGCCAACGTTGGGCCAACATACTACTACCAACTTTAAAAAACACTTTCTTTAAGGGTGTATTACAAACAGTGGGCCAACGTTGGGCCAACATCAACATCCCTCCTTCCTTGGGAAGTGATATGACCATGCAAATCCAATCTGAATGAAAAAGTGAATGGAAGTTGCTAACGTTGGACCAACGTTGGGCCAACATAGGCATTCTGTCGTGGTTGAGAAGGTTGGCATGGTGACATTGGTCCAACGTTGGCCCAACGTTGTTCCCCCAACGCCAACCATACAACCTTTTGCCAATGTTGGCCCAACATAGTCTTGCTATCTGGGATTAGAATCATTAAATAGTACATTTAACAAGCTTTCAAATGATATATACTTTTAATATGTTATATCTTTCATACATTTGTACAGTAATGAAAGAATTACAAGCAAATTAAATTTTGCCCTTTGGAAACCTTTGGTGTATTCTTAAGACCATTTAACTAATGGTTTGTATTAAAATAATACATAATCACGAACTTAGTTTGTTCAATTTAGTACTCCCTGCAGAATAAAAAAATGCATACTCCCTTTATGACCAATAGAGCCCCACCCAACACAGAAACCCTTCGAACTGTCAACATTAGGAGCCATAGATTTCATAACTTTGGAAGAAGCACCCTTGGTCATCTGATCATAGCTTTCCACCTAGTATATCTGCTAGATAATTAGAGGGGGAAATACCTACATGTATGAAGAATATATGCTACATGTAGTACATTTTTCTATATGTTCTATGGAGCCCCAATCTCACACAAGAACCTCTGCTCCTGGGGCCATGAATTTCACAGTTTTGGTAGAGGATCGACTCAATGCTAATTACAATTATTATTCTTATGTCAACATGAAATGAAAATACATTAATTCTTTGAAAATCCTTTACTCTATTCTTGAGTATTTTAAGACAATCTATGTGTAAACTTATGGTAGGAAAACGTATTGTTTCTCTTTTTTAAAATTTGTTTAGTTATGACCTGGGGTCAGGGGCACTGCATGGAGTTGGATTTGGCTGCAATAATCTCAGTGACAATGTATTGTTTGAAAATCTTCTCTACTCTTGAGTATTTAGCATAAAAACTAAGTGCATGATTATGATGTGAATGAGTGCTTCTTCCAAAATACATGTAGTGAAATTGTGACCCCCTGCGACAGAGGTTCTGGAGTTAGGTGGGGCTCTATATAGACATCATTTAAGACATTTGAGTCCAGATTTATTTGAAGGTGATGAGTTAGATGATGAAAACCAATTTTGAAAAAGGATATAATTTATTTCTGATTTTTTTTTCCAAAATTATTTACAAATACCCCTGGTACTTGACATGTATTAAATTTTTTTGAACAGGTTGAAAACTTGAAAATAATAAAAGTTATCAGGGTTTTTGATTTTATTTTCAATTGAAACAAGTTAAGAATTTTTAAAACAAAAGAAATTTGAAATTACTTAATATTTAATATGTTCAAACAATTGCTTCCTCTAATATTTCATCCATATATTCAATCTCCTATGCAAAGTTGTGGTTTGTTCCTGCACTCTCGGACACCTTTGCAATGGGCTTGTGTCAAGATTTTTGACATAACGTAAACATGGTAAACGAAATAACATTTCTGGCAAGAATTATTTCAAATCAAACTAATAGATTTATACCTTTAAGGACTATCATTAGCTCAGACATTTAATTAATATGATGAATTTAAAGAAACACACTATATCTCATGCTTAGGCCAAAAAAAATAATAGTCTTGTTTCCTGCTACCAGCCAGAAAAAAATAGGGTAGGTAGGTAGGAAAATTATTTTATTTTTTTATTTTATTTTATTTTTTCCAACGGTATTTTTTGGATATGAACTACTACAAAACCAAATTGAACATGTCATAGCTTAGATAGCTAAGGTCAATATCATCTTTCAAAATGAAATTCCATGTCTTTGGATGCACAACTCAAGTGGAATTTTACGAAAGTCCATATTTTAAACATATATTTCATGAAATACAACTTGAGAATTTTTTAATTTTTTTACTTTTGAAACATGACATTTCTGAACTTTTGAATTTTTTCCCCAAAAGCTAAAAAAAACTTTAGGGTCGGCTGCAAAATAATAGGGTAGGTCGGGTAGCAGGAAACAAGACTATTTTTTATTTTGGCCTTATCACTGTAATATATACGCAGTATTTGAAACTCACTGTAAAATTAGCTAGACATGCCAGAATGACTGCTAGTAAAAGTTGTCAGCCCTACCAAAAATCCTCTTGCCTGAGAAAACAATAAACTTTTACAAATTTATTTATATAGCGATTATGAGAATGGGGCCAGACCACCATAACTTTGATTCTGAATCATTCTATAGGCTAATAAATTCTACCCCTTTAACCCATTACACTTTGCTACCGATACTTTAAGATAATCTGAAAAAGATTTATCAAATATATGAATTTTGATTTAAGGGAAATTTTAACACTTCCAATCGGGCGTCGATATGTGCCAATTTTTTTGCCCATGGCAACATTTGTGCGTCTCGGGCGGTCAGGCACACAGATATTTCAAAAACTGCTGTATGCTAGCCAACAACAGAGTTGATTGTATGAGCTGATGGTTGAGAGTGCCATTTATTATAACAATTTTAAACATATCATAATTTTTGGTCATAGTAATTCTGATATTACATAATTTTTTAATACATGTGTGTACTTAATTCAAGTAGAATATATACATTGTTAATTTTTTTTCTCAATTGTAAATTCCTTAAAAATTTGTTAAACATGACCCTAAATTCCTACAAGCTAAGGGTTTGCCAGAAGAGTTTTATAAATGTTCAGTTTTACTATAAAAGTATTCAAGTAACAAATATCTTTGACAGGTGCTCTAGAGGATTTGAACACTGCTATAACACTAAGCTGTGGTGTTGGTTCCGTGGCCTGCCAGGCATACACTCAGCGGGGCCTTATCTACAAACTGGAAGGTAAGAAGCTAACTGATTAGTCTTTTATTCTTAATTTGATGTTAATTCATTGTGGTTTAGGACTTAGATATGAAATAATAAATTTAGGCAATCAATTCATTTTTGAAATTCACAATGGGACTAGTATGACTAAAAAGTCTGCTGGAAAATTTGTCACTTGTCCAATGATGATAAACTGTGTCGACATCTCTATTTCGTTTTGCATAAACTTTTTTTGCAAAGTTGAAAGGTGTATGGAAAATGAAAAATCTTTTTACCGGTTATAGGTTTTAATTAATATACATGTATTATTTCCAGGTGAGGATGAGAAGTCTTTAGAAGACTTCAAGCATGCAAGCAGATTGGGTGGTCAGTTTGCCAAACAGCAAGTTGTTGCCATGAATCCATATGCAGCGCTGTGTAACCAGATGCTCTGTGAAGTAATGCAGAAAGTTCGTAATGGAGAGGTTTAGCATGGACATCTTTCCATATCAAGATTTTATTTTAAGCGTCCTGAATTATTCAGTGTCAGATCTGTTTTCAACAGTTGTTCACCATTGTTCTCTGTCATCTTTCATGCAAAAACTTTTCATATTTCTAAACATCTGAACTAAAACCAAAGCAACCAAATCATTACCACAATGTATCCTTGGATGATGGACATAAAGACTATGCCTCTTTCCAAAGGGGGAAAATTTGTATATATCATGATTATGTACTGTAAATTACTTTTTATTCGCGAGAACTTTATTTTCGCATAATTACGCGAGATGGTATGCTCGCGAAAATTTCATTCTCGCGTATAATAGAATTCCTGAAGATTATGTAGAGCTATGACCACAATTCATGAAAAATTTGTCTCGTTAATAAAGAGTCATTGACAATCTCGCGAAAATAAGGTGTCGCGAAAATTCAGTGATCTACAGTATTGTGTGTCATTTTAATCACCGAAGCAGAATAGATATAAATTTATTAGCCTTCTCCTCTCTCCCTTTACTGAAATTATGACATACACAAATGTAAAAGGAGTCGAAGTTTTTACATGAATGTCTACAGGAAAAATTCTTTATTTTATTTTCCTTTAGCGGACATACATACAATGCTGTGAATTGTTTTGTTAATTTTATATACAGTCTTCACATTGCAATGTACATTGAAGAATGAATGTATTTTTTAAATAATTATATTTTATGATTAAATTCATACCCATTTTTCCACAAAAAGCTACATGTATTGAAAATATTTTCATGTATATATTAAACATTTCCAAAATTTTGTCCTGAAGATTATATAGAGCTATGACCACAATTCTTGAAAATTAGAAGTTGTAGAAAATAATGCGAAAATTAAGTGATCTACAGTATATTAAACATTTCCAAAATTTTGTCCTCAGCAGAAGTTGCAGATGCATTTCAATTCAAATGCTACTCATGTGAAAGATGAAATACTGTATATGTTTGACTGCGCTGCAAATCACAATTTAGGAAAACCAAGAAGAGTATTAACTGAAATTATGATTATAGACTCTCAAGTGACCCTATGGGACGCTTGTTTTTTTTTTTCTTGAAACGAATCTCAAGTTGAAAGTATTGTTAAATTACTGAAAATAAATTTTAATTAAATGCTATTCATTAATGATTATATATTATCCATTGGATTGTAAATCTACATATAAAACATGTACACGTATTTAATTATTTAGCCATATTTTGAGCTAAATAAATTTGTTGAAACACATACATTATTTTTATTACGTTTGTATTATCAAAAGTTTTACCAGTCATTCAAAAAGGTATGTTTTTTTTCATATAAATCACCATTTTTGAACATGGAGAAATGATTTAATATATGAAACATTTTTATTTCATACTTATTCTCACATACATGTACCCATACTATTAGTTGCCCACAATATCACTTCAAAAATAATAATGCAACTTTTTGAGTAATTGTGGATATTAAAAAGTAATATTTTTAGCTCACATGAGCTTTTCTGATCACATTTTGTCCGTCGTCTGTCTGTCTGTAAACTTTTAACATTTTTGCCGTCTTCTCAAGAAACACTGGGCCAATTTTAACCAAACTTGGTACAAAGCATCCTTGGGTAAAAAGGAGTTTAAATTGTTAAATCAAGGGCCACGTCCCTTCACAAGGGGAGATAATCAAGAAAAGACAAAAATAGGGTGGGGTCATTAAAAAATCTTCTTCTCAAGAACCACTGGACCAGAAAAGCTGAAACATATGTGGAAGCATCCTGGGGTAGTGTTGTTTCTAAATTGTTCAAACCATGACCTCCCGGGGTAGGGCAGGGCCACAATAGGTAATCAAAGTAAGCTTTAAAAAATTTCTCCTCAAGAACCACTGGGCCAGAAAAGCTGAAACTTATGTGGAAGCATCCTGGGGTAGTGTAGATTCTAAATTGTTCAATGCATGACCCCCGAGGGTAGGGTGGGGGCACAATGGGGAACACAAGTTTTAAATTGAAAATTTGAAATATATAGGAAAATACTTTAAAAATCTTCTTCACAGGAACTACTGGGCTAGAAAAGCTGAAACTTATGTGGAAGCATCCATGTGTAGTGCAGATTTTGAATTGTCCAAATTATGACCCATGTGGTACGGTTGGGTCACAATATGTATTACAAAGGGGTATTTGCTAAAGAACAACACGGTCAAAGCTACTCAGGTGAGCGTTGTGGTCCATGGACCTCTTGTTTAACTCTGAAAAGCAAAATTTCAAAACAGTCTTATTTTTCTACAGAACCTTAAAGCTTTTTTATGTTTTTAATTTTTTGAACTTGCGGTTCTTGCATGACGGTTCTTGCATGACGCCAGTTCGTGAATGAATGAATGAGCGTTAAGTTTCATTCTGTAATACAATGAGAAATATTAAATGTACGTTAATCTGAGAAAGTTAATGCCATAACGATGTCAAGATTTTTTTTCAGTAATTTTAATTCGTGTATGTTAATCAGTTAATAAGAAAACATAATCTTAAGTAACTTGATATGAAGAAGATTAAATTATTTCCCCTTTCTATTGCTTGATCATGAAAATCTAGAAGAAACATTGAAGATATAATATATACATTGGCAATACTTCCGATTTTATTCAATAAAACATATAAAATTAATATATTGTATATATTCACCCAGAGACGCCATGTGCCTACATATGTCAAAAGGGAAGTCATATCTATACGTCCCTGGTATGTTTAGATATGATAAATAACTTGCTTTATTGTCATTAATAAACACATCCTTAAATCACAATCACATCCACACACACCGAAAGAGAGGTATTTGCCAACCTGTCCATTATTCAGACAAAAAAATTTGTTTAGCTTAAAATATTTTAGCCATGAAGGAATCATTTTAAATGAAAGTGGTTCGATCCCGACCTTATGATTTATACTATATATTGTGTTGATTTTATTATGTATTACATATATTTCTTCAATCGCTAAATGCTTTGTGTATAAAGGTTTAAGAAATTTCAAAAAGCGCTAAATCAAATCTACGCTAACTTGTTGAAAATTCAATTTCCGCCAAATATCGTACACGCCAAATATAATACATTTACAGTATTTCTTCAATAACGGGATTTGACCAGAATTAAAATGTCCTAAACAATGGTGAACGTGAAACTGGGTTCTGAAGGACGAGAAAACTGTCTGGTTATAGAAAACATTTTCAGTTTCAAGAATCTCTTGTAGTTGCATTGCTTTTGACCTTTGTTCATTGAGAAGATCAACAGCAATGCAATTGAAACCAATTATTGAAAACTGAAAATGCTTTCAATGACCAGTTTTCTATGACGTCCTTCAGAGAAAGTCAACTTGATCGAGGTACGTGCATTGATTTGTACCCAAACGTGGTTTCAAAATGTCATTTTGGAAATACATAAATGTATATATACAACTAATGCTCCCAATGAAAATTGTATGGTGTTTTACATTCTGACACAAGAACTGGTAACAAGTCTTGAAGAGCTGATATAAATAGAAGTATTTTAAAATAAGGTATTTACTATCAGAATACAAATACATGTAAAACAATAATGTAAAACTTATAAAACTAATCAAAAAGTTAGGCTCGTTAAAAAGAAAAAAAAATGAAAATAACAGGTAACTTTGTGTGTATTGAAAATTGCGAGGTTATCAAATAAAAAAGTTCAATGTATCTACAATTTTTGAAACCAAAAACGAGTGCTTCAACGGACACGTGTACCATCTATCATTTAACTCATTCCACATTCTCTCGATTTCCTCAGGGTAATAATGATGCCCCGTGATTTTGTGTCTAAAGTGTGCTCCACACGGCCCATCGTCTCTATAGCCACAAGTAAAGCCCGGGTGAGCGAAGGCATCAGCATTGATGTATTGTCTGCATATTCCATTCACATACACATCTTCCAAGAAAATTCGTTCCACAACATTTGTAGCAAGATAAAGTTTAGAAATAATATCACCGGTTATGACGTATGCTGGTCCACTGATGTAATCTGGAAATGTATCGGGGCTGTATTGTTTCCGTGAGATATACCACTTTGATAACGGAAATCTAAATGGCGACGTATTAGTCACTTTACATCCCATAATGGAATTGCTCGGTTTCATACGTTTGAGATCATCAATTAGATTCCTAACATTTAAGAATATGTCATCGTCCACTTTTATATAATATTTAGCGCGATTACAATTCACATGTATCCATTGTAGAATGCTAATGGACTTCTTTGCTAAATTTTCGTACATCTCTTTGACGTTCACTCTTATTACGTCATTATAAATTTCATTTTCCTTCGTCACTATGTGATTAATTTTTTGGTTGTCCGATGCTCCAACGAAGAAAACCAATTTAAGAGAAGGATCTGATTTAGCTACACTTCCCCATGCTTTTCGTATGACTACCCTTTCCTTGAAATTGTTAATGGCACTAGGAACAGATATGAAGAGAAATAAAGATGATCCGTTTTTTGAACAGCTAAGTGGTGACACAGAACCGAAGGGTTCAACCTTTCTATTAAGGATAATATCAGCATCGTTATTGCTGCTTGTGAAAATTGCTTTACATAATTTCAATAAAACTAGAACAATTGTAAACACCACTGCACTGTAGGTGAGACACGTTGCGTATTTCCGAGTTTTCCTCTTGAAAGACACTGGGAATAGAGTCATGGTCTACAATGGAACAAAAAAAAAAGAGTTAATTTCTTTCTTTCAGGATATGAAAAACAAACAAAAGTGTATGGATTCATCTTTCAAATTAATATTTTAAAACATAATTCTTGGGTTGTGAAAAGTACTCACACAAATGTGAAAATATAACCCTAGGTTAATAAAAATCTTATCTTTGAAAGCTGTATATAGATTTTGTTCAGCTTATTCCCTGTTACGCTTTACATGAACGATGATTTTGTTGTACAGTGTAGCTTTTTTTAATAATTGTAATAAATCTTCCTTCAAAACTTTCTGTATTATTAACAATGTCTCCAATATTGCTTCCATATTGACATGAAGAGCAATATCATTTTGTAAATAGGCATACGCCAGTGTAGACACATCAATACTAGGGTATTTTTCGTTACATATTTGTCACGGGTATCGGCGTGGAATCTTGCTGGTTAACTTGCATTACCTTTGTTTATATTTTATTGCAGTTACGTTTATCTGTGTTGTTTGAATACTGCACTGACTTATACAAATATAATTGTAAATTTATTTAGTATCTCATTTTCCTGCATTAGACGAAGTAGTAATATTCCGTCTACACCTTCCATACTGAACAGTGACATGAAGAGCAATATAAGCCAAAACGTTAAGAGAAAGAATTGAAAGCTGTTTTACTTGTACAATATTACACGTACACATAGCCAAACAAAAGAGGAAAAATCAGCCCCCTGTAATATTTTGCTTTTTAATTAATGCAGAACTTTCTTGAGTTATTTTTTTTTCAAAGTAAGAAGGCTGGAAAATTCCCACCATTTACACATAATAATATTAATTGAGTTGAATGATCAGGATACTAAAATGTACTAGTCGGAACAGAAATACTTAATTACATACCATAAATTGGACCAAACTTTAGCTTCTGGAAGATGTTATAAACAGTCTGTAATAGAAATAAGAATATAAAAAAGCATATCATATGAAATAAACTGACAATTTGTAAACTGACCTATGTTGCCTTTTATATTCACTCACTCCTACATGTATTCAAATTGGAACGTAACACACGCACACGCAGAAATATATCAACAAGGGAAATAAAGTCATTAAGGTAGAAAAAATAATATCCTAAATAAATTCGAGACATGCAACATATGATGCACATATTCTTCTACAATTCCATGGTCTTCAGAAATATTATCTATAAAATGTGTCGGTAATGCATAGAAAAAATATTTTTGTCATAAAAAAAAAATCGGTTATGTGCCATCGATTTTCGGTTTAGCAAAATTGCGATCTGAAATACGCTTAATCCGATATACATTTTATGGTGTCCGGATAGGGCCATTTGCGTTAGCGCGACATCGCGTTCAGATAAACGAGACATCGCGCTAACACACAACACGCCGTCGCGCTAACGCAACTTTGCACAACACGCCGTCGCACTAACACACAACACGCCGTCGCGCCAACGCAACTTTGCACAACACGCCGTCGCGCTAACACACAACACGCGCTAACATAACTTTTTAACACACAACACGCTGTCGCGCGATGTCGCGCTAACACACAACCCGCTGTCGCGCTAACAAATGGCGCGCTACGCGCCGTCACGCTAACGCACAACACACCATAACATGTACATATACTTGTTGATATCTACATGTATGTACTGTGTATATATACATAAATGTACCGCAGGTAAATAGTCTAGACAGTTATTTTTTTGTAGATGTACTTGTTTTTGTATACGAAGCAAAACAGGGACAGGGAAAAAATCTAGGAACCTCTCGGAAATATAAGACCCATGCTTAATCATATAATGGATGAAATTCTGGATGAGATTGGTCCTATACATACAATGTTATAACAAATTATTAATTTGTTATAACAAACAGTTAAACAAATTGATAATTTGTTATTACAATTTGATAATTTGTTATAACAAATTGATAATTTTTTATAACAAATTGATAATTTGTTTTAACAAATTATTCATTTGTTTATACAAATTGCTAATTTGTTTTAACAAAATATTAATTTGTTTATACAAATTGTTAATTTGTTATAACAAATTACTAATTTGTTTAAACAAATTGATAATTTGTTTTAACAAATTACTAATTTGTTTCAACAAATTTCATAACAAATTAATAATTTGTTATAACAAATTAAAAAAAATAAAAAGATTTCAACAAAACTTTTTACAGATGCACGTGTTGTGTGTTAGCGCGACGGCGCGTTGTGCATATATACGGCGTGTTGTGTGTATCTATGTCGCGCTAACAGACACCATAACATGTACATATACTTGTTGATATCTACATGTATGTACTGTGTATATATACATAAATGTACCGCAGGTAAATAGTCTAGACAGTTATTTTTTTGTATATGTATACTTGTTTTTGTTACAAGCAGAAAAATCTACCTCTCCCCGTTTCCGATCCTATACACACAATGATACATAAACCGACAGTTACATTTAGTAAATGTATACTATTGCTGTATATTTTTCTTGTGTAATGTTTTCTGATCGTTCTTAGCCTTAAAAAAGATTTCAACAAAACTTTTTACAGATGCACATATATAGTATCTATAACAGTACTTAAGTTATTCAGATATGAGAATGCCATTCTTGAAACTAATCAAGTTCACAACAAAGAAGTCAATGAATAACGAGTTTATTACTAGTATTAACAAAGCCTTGACTTGAATCTAAAGTTACTGTCGTATCTTTTTACAGAAAATACACGCAAAAATGTAAAATTTCAACGACCTACATTCAATACTTTAAAAATGATATTTTTTCATGCATCGTCACCTCAACGATACTCACAACATTCTTGTCATATTCTCCACATTACAAGTTCATATACTAGTACTTCGGGGCCTTAATGAAGTCGACTTATTATTTCCCTTCAACCAGGAAGTATTTCTTACTAGTAAGGATATAATAATACGATTTCACAAAGCCCCATTAATGTAGGTCATGCTTGCTTATTGCACTAGGTACAAACCTCATAAATACGACTAATCTTAACGAGATGGGTAGAGACTGAAAATTTGGACTGACGTCTACTACCCATCTCAGACCATTCCCACACAACGTGATTCGGGGTCTTTTGCTCCAATTTTGGCAGCTCGTTTCAATAAATACAGGCTGAAATGAATTAGCTGCCCGCCTCAACTTTTTCCTTTGAACATCCCTTAAAGTCTCTATCACTATAAAACTTTCCTTTCTTACCTTTAAAAGGTTTAAATCCAATAAAATATAAAGTTGTTTATTTTTCCTGACAGCATGATGGCTGTTTGCTATTCATTTAAATCTCCGCTGCTGAAGAGTTCCACAATAATCTTTTTCAAATAATTCGTTCTACTACTATTTCTTATATGAATCATCTATAGTATGAATTATTTGAAACAGATAATTATGGAACTCTTCAGCAGCGGAGGTTTAAATGAATAGCAAACAGCTATCATGCTGTGAGGAAAAATAAACAACTTTATATTTTATTGGATTTAAACCTTTTAAAGGTAAGAAAGGAAAGTTTTATAGTGATAGAGACTTTAAGGGATGTTCAAAGGAAAAAGTTGAGGCGGGCAGCTGATTCATTTCAGCCTGTATTTATTGAAACGAGCTGCCGAAGTCGGAGCAAAAAACCCCGAATCACGTTGTGTGGAAATGGTCTGAGATGGGTAGTAAACGTCAGTCCAAAATTTCAGTCTCTACCCATCTCGCTGAGATTAAAATACGACGGGCTCATCGACAGGTGTGTGTGGAGAGGGGGTGCGAACAAGAGTATGGAAGGTGAACAATAGCATCCCCTCCGCTCCAGCCAGATTTTTAAAAAATAATTATCATTTTTGCGTTCTTGTGCATTGTTGATTTTTTTTTCGCAAATTAAGTAAATGCAATCTAGTAGTATAAACTATAAAATATAAAGGAGATGGGTGAACTTAGCGTACAGAAAGCCCACTAGCTTCAGATATATAAACATCATACTAGTATTCAAATTGTGAATTTAGTATTTAGAGTAAACATGGTAAAGTTCTCATCATTGTTTTTTGTAAAATCATGATAAACAAATTGTTTTGAGGATTTTTTTAAAATAAAATTTATTCTTTTAATAACAAAAAATAATGTGGTATCCATTGGGTTTGAACCCTGGCAATAAAAATCCTGAGTTGCATTCTCTATTGAGACTAGCACGCTAACCACTGCGCTACACAAGTCCTGATGAAGTGTGGCATTTAAATCATGTTTGTGATATGACCATTGACTTAAGGGACTTCAAGTATTACTTGAAAAGATACGAAAGTTATGTCAAAAAATTATATTTTTAAGGTATAGTGGGTCTTTGCTCCATAATTTTGGAAACCAACATATGTATGTTTGTATGCAAACTTTGAGGATTAACTCTCAGAAATATGGAGAGAAGACACACTCATATCGAAAAATAGTGTTACAAAGTGAAAAACTGACTCGTTTTGTCCTCTTTCGTGTGTGTACAGTATTTCATAAGCAAATAACTTCAACCTTCATGAAACTTGTGCAAGTTGTAGAGATTTTACATAAAGTATACTTTAATGTTAGATGAAATATTAAGGAAAATTTTGATATAATTGAGATTTGATTTTTCACCTTCTTGTTTGTTGTACTATGGGCTTATCTCACGTCATGTTCACCCATGTCCTTATGATTTGTTTGAATTTTTCTTTAAAAGGGGCATATCTTTGCTAGCCAAGAGTTTCTAAGCGGTTCATGCAAAGTCACCTTTGGGTGGCGAAGATGCAAAAGGACGGGTGCAATCAGGTTCATGTACACTTGCTATGTGGGAAACACAAAATATGGATAAGAGATGGGTACCCCAAAACGTGACAGACAGACGGTCGTACAGACGAACGGACAACCCATTACTATATCCCCCCTGATTCTCCAGCGGGGGCATAATATCGTCACTCTGAATAATAATAAATTGCTTCTTCCAGACAGAAAATTAAATGCAGGGAGACTAAAGTCATTATTTTTTAAATTAAAACAATTTGCTAACATGCTTCAACATGAAATATGATAGATTTACAAAGTAATGTGATAATTTAGAGTAATAACACTCGATTCCATTAATATGACTTTCTCCTTCCTGACACGGAATCGGAACTTTTAGCAGAATAAGTTAACTTCTTTTGTTTTCGATTCTCACACAAAATTTCATACATCTATCGAAAAGTTTTACTCACAAAAAGCAGTTGAAAAAAGCAATAGAAACCGAACACATAATAATTATATAAATGTTCATGTATCATGTGTATTGTTCGACTATACCCACATATTTACTTTCAGAACTGTCAGTACCTTGATTATTATGGATTGTTTACGCATGCATAAGGTGATTGTCAAATTTTAACTTGAGTAAGATATAATAAGAGTACTGCTTTCCCATTTATAAAATGGTGTACGAAAAATCCTATAAAATGATACATTTTTTAAAATCAACAGAAAACAAAATGCAGTAATCTGATGCTTGTAAAAAGTTCCATCAATCCAAAATAAGGAAGTACTAGTATAAAACTTATATAAAATACATGTATACACTGAAGTATTTTGTAAAGTCACCAAATATGTTGCTCCCCCCTTCTTAAAAAAAATCACAAACCTTATAAAGTGTCATTCAGGGATTATTTGTAAAGGTAAAATATCGTCTACAATGTATTATACTGTGTTTATAGATTGCCATTCAATATTTATTTAGCTTTTAAATCTACAAACAATTCGAGACACGTTCGGTCATCTACACTACCGGTGTGAATTCTCTCAACCTTGAAAAAAAGTCAATATTTTTCTGAATTAAAGATGATATGCAACGAAGCACACGATATTGGGGTTGTAGCAGTGCAGCTTTGTTATTACGCTAAAAACCAATCAGTATATTTTATGTACTTTTCATTGATTTTATTGTTATTGCGCATTATATTTCACAATAGATACAGTGTGCTGGAAAGAATTTCTTTCCATTCTTTCATTTCACATGATGTATGAGTAATCTACCCTATTATCGACATCATATATATCCATTTATTTAAGCGAATCAATTACCAAATAACCATCTACAATATTCTTTAACGTACTTTGATTTCTTTATCTTTGTCAACCTTTGAGCTGAAGCCCATCTACCATTGCTATTCTACCCCCTCCCCCTACCCGAAATTCACCACCACCAAATGCATGATAGCCGTATTCGTTGAATCTTTACAATTATATTAACGATGTGAACTTTCATTATCGCGTAATTGATTGTGTTTAAAAATAGCGACACATTTAAGACATCTTAAGACCCTCAAAATTTATATCAAGATTCTATATATAGAAATGTCTACTTACTTATCTTCACGTCAATATCTCCGTTTTATACTGCCAGTGCACGGAGTAAAGAAATTCGCCATTTTGGGACAATTGCAACATCGCTGTGTTGTTTGGTTTTGTCAGGGCTGATAAGGTCCTTTGCATTTAAAAAGTTTAAAGGCCTTACGTTTATCGATGAGAGAAACATGAGAAAGGCAAGATCGAGCTGTGATCCATTTACCTGTTCTTTTCATACTGAATACTTAACGTGCAGGTATACACTGTAACTGCGCGGCACGATAGTAAAGTCACACCCTGTTGAACGTAACGCATGGTTTAAATTAACTTTCTTTTTTAAATGGTTCTATGCATCCCAAGGCAAGTTCAGCACAATTCAAATTGCAAAGGACTTCCTTAAAATCTGTGATTAACAACAGTGAAATATATCTGTACTATGTGCACATACAAGTTAACTTTACTAAATTCATATGTGGTAGTTTTTTTTTCATTCTAAAATATATGGTCTTGTGCGGATTCCGGATTTTTTTTCGGGGGGGGGGGGGGGGGGTGCAACACTACATATCTGGGACATTTTTGACAAAAAAAGACCCGTGGGCTGTGCAATGCTAACTTGTGTCAATTGGATCCTATAGTTGCCTTTTTTAAAAAACAAGACTTTAAATTTCATAGGTATTTTGAGTCCATATGTATGGACCAAAATCAAGTCATAAGATGCTAATACATTGTATATGTATATAGTTTAATTTAACAAATTTTAATCGACTTACCCCGAGACAAATATTTAAGATAAATATGATTCCATATTACCGAGGTATGTTTTTGCTTTTATGATATAGAAGGGTCTTGCACCTCTTGAAGAAAACATTTCTTTCTATTACAATTAATACATCTATACACTCTCTTCCAAAACCTTTATCATTTGTTGCAGACTCAACTTCTTCCTAAAAGCACTGAACAAAATTACATATTGATCCAACTTGCACATCAAAATGGCTACTCGTTAATAATGACTTTGCTAAACATGAGACGAATCATTTTTGAAATTCGTACATGTTAAAATGTGTAAAAATTTATCTCATTATTAACTCTATCTAACCAATGGGATCCAGTATTGATTTTGAGAAACTTGAATCTATACTACCTGAAGATGCTTCCATATCTTATATGACTTTATTGCTTCTTTGCTTTGGGACATGTTATTCATTCATATTTTAAGATATATAATTATATACCAATGAATAACTTTGACGCCCGACGCCAGATCGAGTGAACATGGTTTAAACAAACTTAAATCCACATTACTGTATTTCGAAGCTTTTGTATATCATGTCTTATTCAGAGTGGTTCTTGAGATTAGATTTTAAATGTCACCTTAAATTCCCCTTGAAATGAAATTTCGCCCCCCCCCCCCCAGTTTGGGAAAAAAAGACCCAATCTCTTTCAGCCTTGGACTCCCTGTACCAAGTTTGGCTGAGATTATTTCAAGTTCCGGAAGAAAATGAAATTTTTAAAGTTTACAATACAACAACGGCAACAACGACAGTCATCAGAGTTTGGACAGGAGAGCTCACAGTCAGTCATGTGAGACTATTTTATAATTTCTAGACTCCAAAATAGTAATTGATTTAATCATTTAAATTTTATTTATGATATGTATACAATGTACTTGTAAATAAACAACGAAAATTTTCGAAATTGATAGCATTTTTCCTGCACTCCGGATTCTGAGCCTCAGATATAGATATATTAAAATGAAAACGACTTACGTACACCTTAAACACCTACATGTATATGTTTTGTCTGTATAGGAGTGGTTTGTGTTTTAGAAAACTTTTTTTACCCCATTCATACTACGAAAATTTGCTTATGTGTGCAAATTTACATATGAGTAAATCTACACACGTACGTTAAGTAAAAGTTAATTTGCTATGCGTTCAGACGAGATTTATGTACTGTTAGTAAATCCTCATAATTCCATATAAAATAAGGAGATAGACAGATTCAGAATTGTGAATTTTTATAGAAAAGTAATTTCCTTTCTGTTCGGGTAAAAGACTAACTTTTGAATGTTCCTTATAGACTAGAGTGGAAATCCGATCCACTAATTTATTGGTATGAAAGAAAAGGAACTTATGATTTTAAGGACAAAGAATTGTGTAAGAATTTACACACAAAGAAGGAAAATTTATTAAAATTATTGTTTAATGTTGGAAAATGTTTTGGCTCCGGTTCTAAAGACTGTAGAGGAGCCGTTGGGTGTAAAGAAAAAGGTGACAGTTGCCATCTACTGATTGACGTCTTCAGCAGAAATAGGACAATTTGAATCTTTTTGGTGTTGTATCCAGTACATCAAGTGTGCGAGGCAATTATAAAATAGCCGCTTGAATATGATACATGAAGGATATTGAAATGACAAACAGTATTCAATATCAAAGTCCATAAAGCAATACAAAATAGGAACAGAGTTAACACGGACAAACCATCAGAGGTGGGATCAGGTGCCATGGAGAGGTGATCATACCCTGCCGACCGGTCACACCCGCCGTGTGCTCATTGTCATGATCGTGAAATAACGGAAAAAATCCCTCGTTAATTCATGTATATACAATCGACAAACAATTAGTATGAAAAACGTCAGTCTTGTAATCATGTATTTTCAAGGAGAATGAAAAGGATAAAGAAAACTAACAGCGATCGATCTAAAAAATCTTTGAACAATACAAATATATGAATAGGAAATAAACACGAACCCCTGGACATTCATGCTGGGATCAGATGCCAAGGAGGATACTTACGAGTGCTTACTTTAAACGAGTTAATTGAAATTCCTGTAACATTAACTTATATGTGAGTAGCTTGCCTGAATTAAAAACAGAGAAAGGTAGTAGAAAGTCATCAAGAGCTAAACGGTAATGGGGCCAGAGCAATTCATGGAATGCATGTTCCTATCACAGCTCCGGAGCATTCCAAAAGAGACAACTTGTATAGTAAGGACACTACTTATTGATCCTACAAGGCACTTGCTTGCGACCACAGCTATATCTTTAGAGACATAAACATAGGTTTGCCAGAAAGGGTGCTAGATGCCCTAGTTTTGGCAAATTCGAAAATTTATCTCGGAGGAGATAATGGCTCCTTGTTTAGAGTTTTGCCTTCTATAGCCACCATGTTTACCAATTGATATTTTACGCGCCAATACATACACAACCGGAGATTTTTGCAATAAACAAAACAAAATACATACATAAGCATTTGCTGCGTGTTCATACGTCAAAATTTACACACATGAACTAATAATTTGCTACAAAGTGTATGCAAAAGTTAATTTGCATGCACCTAGTCCTGACCAGGTGTAAATTTACTCAACTGTGCAGAATTTGCATATGAGTAAATCAGTTCATACGACAAAAATTGCACATGGGAGTAAATTTACTTGTGTGTAAAATATACTGAGGTATGAAAATCATGTATGAATGGGGTAAGACAGTAGTCATTAGGTGTGCATATGCATGTCTATATCTCATTACCATGCACTTTACGAAACGTCTGAGGTTTTGTGTTTCTTGGAGGGGGAGGGGGATCCTAGATATTTTTTAATTCTTATACTTTTCATAGAAAATTAATAAATCTGATTAAAAACCTCATGCAGGGGAGTGTGGTTAGGAAGACTCTGGAGTATAAAGAGAGGAAGTTACATTTAGCTCCATATGCTGGCACATATGCTGGCATATGTCGTAAACTGTATGTTCAATCAAGGGCTGTATATTGTCTGTAATTGGAAAACAGTAAGGGCAAAAACATGGAAATAATTTATTGTTTTATAGTCTAAAACTATTTTTAATATTTAATTTGGTGCCAAATTAACAGACTTCTGTTGTAAATATGCAAAAATGAAAAAAAGTTTAAGATTTAAAAGCAACAGAAGCGATTGAAAAAGACCCAAATTACCCCGTTAATTGCAGTCATCCTCTTCAGTTTCTGCTCTCAAGTTTTTGGAACAACCCTTGTAATTGACAGAAGTAGGGTGTCTTGTCCGACGTTAAATGTTACACCAATAAAAATGTTTGGTGTCCCACTCCCGACAGAATGACTAAAATGGCTCCCATTTTTTTTAACATTCCAGGTCACGATACCTTTCTTTCTTTTTATTCCTCTTATCTCGTCGTCACCGCGCGGCGCAGTGGCTAGAGCGTCTGCTCTAGAGTTGCGAAGTAAGCAGTCGATACTTAGTTCGCAGGTTCGAATCCCACTGTGGGACGTGGAGACCGGTCCTTCGGATGAGACCGTATAAACCGAGGTCCCGTGTGGCAGTAGGTACTGGCACGAAAAGAATCCCTCCCTGTTCAATGGCCCTGAGTGCCGAGTATAGAACAAAATTTGCAGCTCTTCACCGGCAAGTGGTGGCGTCTCCATATGAATGAAAAAATCTCAAGAGGGACGTTAAACAATATACAATCAACCAATCAATCTTATGGATTGACTGGATGTTGTTTTACATACCATTCGAGATTTTTTCACTCATGTAGAGACGTTACCATATACCCGTAACCGATGAAGGGCTTCAAAGTTTGACCTTTACTCGACACTCAGGGTCACTGAGCAGTAAGGGGTTCTTTATCGTATCAACGCCTGCCGTGACAAAGGACCTCAGTTTTTAAGGTATCATTCGAAGGACTCGGAACTTTTACTTCTAGTGCCGAACACATGGTAAAGGAACAGCTGCTACCCATTTTTTATCAACTTAGGTCAGTCGTGGCCGAGATTCGAACTCCCGATCACGGGGTGAGCACTCTACTTGATGATATTTTCTGGAGAAAAAAATTCCTGCCTACCTACCCACCCAATGATTCTACACTGAGTTGGGAGAGAGCAAGCAAACATTATTTTAAAAATGGTCCGATTGCCAGAACATTCAAGGTCCTTTTTCACATACCTGTCTTTGGTCGAGTTTTGGTAGAGATATTACATTTTACTTAGAATTAAGTTGATACACTGGAATAAATGTAAAATCTAGATTCATATAGAATGAAGTAATTATCGTAATCACTTCTGAATTCAAAATAAAAAAACACTTTTAATTATTATTACAAAATACATGATTGTCCTATCACGCATCTAACATAACATTTATCCATTTCCAACTGCAAAAATACCTCTACTTTTTACCTGTGTCATATGACTGGAAGCTTCTAATATTAATTAACCTGCCTTTCTAGCTGTACATGTATACAGTACTACATAAACTAAGAATTTGATATA